AGGAACAGTTTGAGGATATTTGTGAGAAAAATTTCTCCCCGCATTTTATTCCTACTAACTTTTTCATTAAATATATAATATGTTTTTTGGAACAGGTGTTAAAGTAGAGAGCAGAAATGCCTCTTTCTGTTGAATCTGCATTTGTTTCATTAAGACTCTTTTAAGTGTAAATAAAGACTGAAATAAATTAATTCCCCTGTCATTCAAGAGCAGAACTGATAGTGTCCCACAGGTCACCAGGCTCTAACAGAGCACAACCATGACTCAACTGTACACATAAACCGTAAAACCGGTCAGAACCTGAGAAACGTAACATTAAGGCAACCCACATGTTGCTTAGAACAATAATTGATTAATTGTGGTTATTTGGCATGATAAAGCCAAAGCATTTACTTGCAAAATGAACTAACAAAGATCCCTCGACATCATTGAGCTGTACAAAAGGTATAATTAAATAATGAGGTATTGTCGTTTAAAATGTGGAACAGTAATACAGTGGTCACTTGGAATGACACTTATGCTTCAGGATCTGGCAAGTGCCGTCATTCGCAAAATGAGCCAAAATTAAGATCTCACAATATCACTGACCCATATTTATAAAGCATAAGAGTTTTGGATGGTAGAATTTATGAAAGAAGAATCACTTGTCATTTAAATGTGGAACAATAATGCGGTGGTCACTCAGAATGACACATAGGCTTCAAGATCTGGCATACGCCGTCACTCGCAAAATGAACCAAAATTAAGATCTCACAATATCACTGAACCATATGTGTAAACCATAAGAGTTTTGGATGGTACAATTTATGAAAGAAGAATCACTTGTCATTTAAATGTGGAACAAAATACGGTGGTCACTCAGAATGACACATAGGCTTCACTCGCAAAATGAAAAAAATGCCGTTACTCGCAAAATGAACCAAAATTAAGATCTCACAATATCACTGAACCATATGTATAAACCAAAAGAGTTTTGGATGGTACAATTTATGAAAGAAGAATCAATTGTCATTTAAATGTGGAACAATAATACGGTGCTCACTCAGAATGACACATAGGCTTCAAGATCTGGCATATGCCGTCACTCACAAAATGAGCCAAAATTAAGATCTCACAATATCACTGAACCATATGTATAAACCATGAGAGTTTTGGATGGTACAATTTATGAAAGAAGAATCACTTGTCATTTAAATGTGGAACAATAATACGGTGGTCACTCAGAATGACACATAGGCTTCACTCGCAAAATGAAAAAAATGCCGTCATTCGCAAAATGAACCAAAATTAAGATCTCACAATATCACTGAACCATATGTATAAACCATAAGAGTTTTGGATGGTACAATTTATGAAAGAAGAATCACTTGTCATTTAAATGTGGAACAATAATACGGTGGTCACTCAGAATGCCACATTGGCTTCAAGATCTGGCATATGCCGTCACTCGCAAAATGAGCCAAAATTAAGATCTCACAATATCACTGACCCATATGTATAAAGCATAAGAGTTTTGGATGGTACAATTTATGAAAGAAGAATCACTTGTCATTTAAATGTGGAACAATAATATGGTGGTCACTCAGAAGGACACATAGGCTTCAAGATCTGGCATACGCCGTCACTCGCAGAATGAACCAAAATTAAGATCTCACAATATCACTGAACCATATGTATAAACCATAAGAGTTTTGGATGGTACAATTTGTGAAAGAAGAATCACTTGCCATTTAAATGTGGAACAATAATATGGTGCTCACTCAGAATGATACATAAGCTTCAAGATCTGGCATATGCCGTCACTCGCAAAATGAACCAAAATTAAGATCTCACAATATCACTAAACTATATGTATAAACCATAAGAGTTTTGGATGGTACAATTTATGAAAGAAGAATCAATTGTCATTTAAATGTGGAACAATAATACGGTGGTCACTCAGAGGGACACATAGGCTTCAAGATCTGGCAAGTGCGGTCACTCACAAAATGAAAAAAAATTAAGATCTCACAATATCACTGAACCATATGTATAAACCATAAGAGTTTTGGATGGTACAATTTATGAAAGAAGAATCATTTGTCATTTAAATGTGGAACAATAATACAATGGTCACTCAGAATGACACATATGCTTCAAGATCTGGCAAACTTGTGCCGTCACTTGCAAAATGAACCAAATTAAGATTTCACAACATCACTGAACCATAATTATGTATAGATGTAAAACAAGAGTTTTTGACTGTAAAAATTTCAAAAGGGAAATCATTTGTCATTTGAAATGTAGTAGAATATTAAATAATAAATTATAGTGACCACTGCTTTGTCAAGTGCTGTCACCTGAAAAGTACAGTAACCCCAAAGATCTAACATATTAACTCAGCTGTACAACAAGCCAAATTTCTGAATTATGGACATGCTAAGGTCACATCACCGACTTATATTGGTGTAAAAAAAATGTTTGCCTGCACAGCTCAAGATCCGGCTACTTAAGATTATTCTATTAATGAAGACGATGCGCAACAAAGAGTACAGTTATTTCTGCAGTAAACAAAAAGGAATCAATCAATGGCATATCTGTGCATGCATCTTAAATTTTAAGATTTATCTTTGAGGTTTTAAGCTTACGCAAAGTTATTAGAAAACCAAAGTAAGTAAACGAACCACGATATCAAGAAGAACATACGAGAGTATACAATATGCGAGCCAGCGAGGCATGCGAGCCATGCGAGGCAGACGTGCGAGGCGTGCGAGCCATGCGAGGCATGCGAGCCAGACATGCGAGGCATGCGAGGCAAGCTTAATATGAAAAAAAAAATAGTAATTAATAGCTCGCGACGAAAGCGACTTCATGTAAGAAGGCATGAGATTACGCGGTCTAGTTCGCTCGTGTCCAGCACTCTTTCTCCGGACCGTCTGAGAATCACGCTAACTGGTTGGACAATATTTCAACGAGGTGTTCAGAAAACAGGTCACGTGACCAGAAAACAAACACCAAGAGTGCAAAAAATCTGTGGTACGGATGATGTGATTGGTTTTTCTTTCATAACTACCTCCGGGAGATCAAACTTGGCCAAAGTTAAGTCAGGAAACTAAGGGAACCCAATAAATGACGATTAGAAGTCACCCAAAGCAACCATTTTGTGGAGTCCCCCCCCACCTCCCCTTTTGGCCCATTTTTTTACAATCCATTTCCATCCTGGCCATCCGCAGCCCAAGACACTTGTTTTTACTCTTAGAGCACTAATAGAATAATTTAAAACAAAACTTGACCTGTATTTTTAGGTTTTCACTGACATAAAGTTGTATTTCGGCTTTCAAAGGTAGCACTAATCAGTACTCATAAAAATTCCCAATCACCGACAAAGAAATTATGGTTATTGTATTGACATGACAAGTTACCATAGCAAAGGTACTCTGTTAAACCCTTAATTTTAGATAAAATGGTCAAAAAAACGAACTCAGTGACCCATTTTTTATTATTGAGTAATGATAAAGTTAAAAAAATTCTAAGGAGCAGTTTCAGAGCCACCTTACAATTCAACCTGATCATGACTCAATAATAAAAAAAAAGAGGGTGTTTTCATCAAGTTATACTGTTGCTATGGTAATAAGTGACATTCACTTCCGGGGGTATTTACATTCCACAATTTATATCTTTATACAAAATAGAGCTGAAGGGGAAACCAAGTTACGGGCCATGGAGGAAGCCTTGTTTCTTCCAAACAAAACTTTATTAATGCATGAAGTCAATAAAAGAAGCACAAGTGGTATTAATTATTAATATTAATCAAAGCTTTTTGCTCTGAAGTCAACTCAGGATCATATGTCACAGCTACACCAGCTTGAAATGGTTTAATATAACAGTTTCTTGGCAATTTTGAAATGCATTCTTTTCGTGGACAGAAGAAGAACGTTCTTTTTATCCATGTCAAATGAATAGTTCTGTATGGACCCTCTGTACTTGCTTGGAGAGCACCAAACGAAATTATGTTCTTGCAAGTTGCACATTTTGCTTCTTTGCGTGTTTTCTTGATGTCAATGTGAAAAACTTGATTATCTGTGCTGCATTTGCTGACATCTGTCACCGGAACACGGTGCGGAAATGCCTCGATAACTTTTTCCCATTCTGCATTGGAGAACTTGCGCTTGTAGATCAATGGACAGGACTGCTCAAAATTAAAGATTTTATACAACAGCCACACTAAATGGTGACAATTTTTTTTGCATCCTGCAGGGCTCGAGCAAGTAGTGTTCTCCTTGGAGATAGTAACATTTTGTAAGTATCCCATAGTATCTAACATACAGAATTCAAAAGAAGTCATGTCACTTTTATATTCAAGAATATCCATAGATACTCCTTCAACTGACTTTTCGAAGTATTTCAACTGCTTCTTAGTGGCCAAATTGTTTCCTTGGGTTGGTGGTTTTTGAGTATTGCTATTTTTCTTTCTTTTGTCAGACCTGTGGCTGTCCCTTGTGTTGACTCTAAAATCGCCTTTTGCCGTTCCAAAACTCTGCATTGGATTAGACTGTGCTAATAATGATTCTGCATTAGCTGCTACAAATTGAACTGCATCAGCAGATGCTTGCTGATCTTGAAACAAGTTTTGTTCCTGCTGTTCCTCACGATCTGCTATTGAGGGCCCACGTCCCACCGTTTTAAGGCCAATTTGTTGGCGCTTAATTTCCGCAGCTTCTAAAATTGCTGATGAACATTCTGTCGTGACAACATCAAGGAGTCTTTTGCGATAACCAGAAGCGCTGATAGATTTTGAGTTTGCGACTTCTGCAGATGACGCAGAACTTGATGCATCTGTTTTGCACCAGCGCTGCCACCTTAGTCTTCTCCTCCACCACCAATTCTTGAAATTTGTCATCTTCTTTTTATCGGTTGCCTTTGTTGCAATAAGTTTATCTAGGGCTTTCTCAGCTACGTCTGCCTGTATAGAGGTTGGGGCATTCATTGCATCAGACATAATCTTTGAAAACGATGTCTTATCAGATGCATCCCTGAAGTACTTTTTGGTGGCGATGTATGTCCTGTTTAACATGATAAGTGTCTGATACTGTTCTGTCTTTGACATCGTTGCCTTTGGCCTTGCAAAGGCCACTCCAGAGGGCACCACCCTCATCCCCAACATACGCATGGGCATCCAAGCCACGCCCTCTGAAGTCTTCTGGATTGTGGCCATGCTCTTCAGCCACACGAGGTAAAATTTTGTTAACTGCTTCATCAAATGATGAAACCATCTTTGCAACGTTATCCGAATTCTCGCCAGGCTTTGGGGCAAACATACTGACAAGCTTAACGTTTCTTCTTATTAGAGGATAATAGGTTGTCATTTCAACCTCTGAGTAGTTTTTTGCATGGCTTTCACAACCATCCAAACTTACTGGCTCATGAACCATGCCCAGTGTTATATGGGCCCCAAGACGAATTTTCTCTTCGGAAGAAAGAATGACAAAGTCATGGCCAACTTCAAGTATTAAATTGTTGTCTAAACCACGCTTCGCAAAGTCCTCCTTTAAGACACGCACAGCTTCAATGTCTGATCCGCCAGGTCTTGTTGTTTCTTGCATTTTAGTTTGAATGTATTGGAGGTGCCTTCTGTTGCTGTACTGCATGGCAACATCAGCAACCTCCTCTCCACTTTTTCCACTTAACAGGGCTTCCCTTACAGTCTCCATTTGTAGCTGACCTGGCGTAATGGTGGGTCGAACACGCACAACCTTTTCAACTTTGCTTTTGTCAGGCTTCCTCTCTCGTACCCTTGGTTGACAAGAGTGCTCACCGATGTAAATCACTTTCATTTTTGTGTGGCACCTGTCATTTTCCACATATTTGCGCGCAGAACATTTTATTTCTGATGCTACTGCTTTGCAATGTAAACAGGTTTTCTTCTTAGTGAAGTCAACCTTATTAGTTGCTTTGTGGATCTTCTTAAAAGGACAGGAAAGATTAGGGCATTCCATGGAGCCTTGACAGATCTGTAAGGTGCGTCTTCCTCCCTCACAGAAATCCTTTCTTTTACATGGCTGTGCGCGACCCCAGTTCCAGTCATCTGCAACAGCTGACAGAGGGTCCTTCTCATTGTACAGGACTTCATATTTAGCTGGGCCATTGGGAGTGGGTGGAACTGCTTTAACCATGGTATCTTCCATGTCATCAATCTCCTCCTGGTTCAGATATGTCCTGTTACCTTTCTGTATAAGCATACCTTCCCTGAAAAGGACAAAATGATACATCAAAAACGAGAAAAGTTCGATCACTGTGTCTCATCTAATTTGTGTGCATTGCATGCCTATGATGTTGTATAATCTAACTCTCTGCACGCAGTGCATGCCTATGATGCTGTATAATCTAACTTTCGAACTCTCTGAAGCAAAAACTCTTGCTGCTGCATTAAGTAACCATCCAACAATCAAAATTGAAGCATTTTCCATTAAATTTGTGTAAACTCACTTGTCATCAAAAAGAGCTTTCTTGGTGCTTTTTCTTTCATCTTCTTCAATTTTGAGAACTTTCACCTTTTTTGTTGGCGTGTTTTCATTGGAACTTAAGCCTCTCAAACTGTTTGCTAAATCTTCAAGCACATCCTCCTGCAATAAATAAATAAATAAATAAATAAATAAATAAGAAATATTATAAATTAATAAGGTAAAGGTAGTTAAAGTCTGCATACAAGACAAGTGGCCCATTAGGGTAAACACTTTTAAAATAGGTTGGGCCGTGGTGATACTGGTATTTTCAGTCTTCTTTGTATGAAACATAATCAAGCAAGGTCAAGGTAAGTATGGATCTTGGGTTTTACTTATTTAGTTTGCAGGTAACATTCTTGTGGTAAAAGGCGTTGTTACCGTAACTTTTCGTTGTCGCTTACGCTTCCTTCCTCTTTCTTTCTCTTTTCTGTCTCTTTCCATAGAGCTTTCGTCATCCGAGCTTACAACTGTCACCTGTTTTGTCTTTTTATGCTTCCTTCTGTTGAACAGTTGGTCGCCTGAGGTTTCATCGCCAGAACTTAAAATGATGACATTTGGAGAGCCCTAAAAAAAGTAAATGAATATAATAATGAAGGTAAACTTTTAAGGATATATAGATTTCCCTATAATGGGTTTAAGCACCTACCAGAATGTATTTCACTTCTTTACAGTATACGACATTAGTTTGACTACTGTTACAGTGGTCACCCAGACAAAGTTGACAAATCACACTGTACAGCCAAAATTATACAGCCACCGTTATATTTAAAAATCAATCAATCTAATATTTCATTGGCTAAAGAAAAGAAAAGATGCTGTTCTGCTTTGTGATTGGTTATCTTTGTCCGGGTGACCCAGGTAACAAGTCAGACTGTAAAACGTGTTGAAAGTTGTTTTTGTTTCTTTTGAGATTTGCTAATGCAATTTTGTCAGTGCGAGCAACATTGATGTCAGACATAACATTATAGCATTATAGCAGTAAAGACAGCAGTAAGCCACCTTAAATAAATGACAGAATTCCAGCCAGTGGTAAAAAGGGGAATAACTAAATTACCAGGAAGATAATAAATAATGCCTCTGAAGACAAAAAAATGACCTACCATACTAGTAGTTTCAACTGGACCAATTTCCTCTTTAACATCCATAGTGGTGCGAAACTCTTGCTCCATGTCAACCTCTGAATCGCTCGAAGAAGTCAAACAATCAGCAGCTCCTTTTGAGGCATCAAGCTGTCAAAAAGGCATTAAAATGACTGAATGGACTGAACACAATAACGAATGCAAAATTGCAATAGTTCAGTCAACTATCCACATATTGACAAACAAATTATCACATTTAAGAGCAAATGAATAATTTATGACACAAGAACTCGTAGCTTACCTTCAACGGGGTTCCCTTAAAAATGCTCACTCCAGGATTATATTCTTCTGGGCCATCATGGTGAAACTGAGGTGCATTACGATGCTTTTCAGTACCTGACAATGATATTCATAATCAGCTAATGGTGTGATAACTGTCAAGCATATCAAGGAACATCACTAATGCAAAGCATTACACTGTATAATAAAATTTTGTCTGGAACTATTCTGCATAAATAGGGGATTGTGTTTATGCTGGTGTTAAAAAAAATCACTGCATCTAGTGTAAATGGCCTTTAAAAGCAATTATAATACTTTGGTGTGCTGTACCATACAAACTGTAAGAGCCATACAACAAATTTTAACAATTTCAGGCTGATTTCTCACTAAGCATCCGCTAAATAAGAACATGATTCGCCTGAATCCTAAAATAAGTGTTCTTATATGCGGGTTTTTACTGTATTATCAAATCACAAGGATAGCAACAACAAGTTTGATCCAAAAAAAAAAAACAAGACAAAAGATCTCTAAAGAAATATAAAAAGTTCACTTACTAGTTGCTTTAGATATTTGGGGAGCATCATTTCTGGGCCGCAGAAGCATGTAGTGGTCACCAGTATATGCCAAGAAGATTTTGGCATATGTTTGGCCAGATGGATTTCTCACAATTTCTGTTCTCTAAGAACATAATCACAGCGAAAGGTCAAAATTAGATGGACAGAGCTATTACTGGTAATGTAGTATGAAGATAGGGAACTGGATACCCAGAGTTATTCAATTTTAAACAGAATACAAAATGACTAACCCCTTCCCAGTCAATAATGTGCATCTCCAATGCAAATAATGCTGCCGCAGAAAGAATGGCAATATGTGTTGTCATTTCATTACGCAGACCTTCCACAGCCTGAAGCCATGATGATGGCCTCTTCCCAAGCCTAGGGAAGTCTGCGTCAGACAAGTACTGAAACAAGTCCTTTTCTTCAACTTCACCATCCTATGAATAAAAACATTCCAATTTGTAAGAAAAGAGATTCTGTCATTTCAGAGGTGATTATAAGAAATCAAGCATTCTGATTGGTAGAGAATTTATGCATATGTGACTATATTCCCCCTGGCCCAAGGTGATTATAGCATTTCAAGCCTTGGTCACTTAGCCACGCAAGGCAGGCGAGTAAACAGGGCGGACAGTTTCTGAATGAAATTATTGTTTTTTCGAAAAGCATCATTTTTTTTTTTAATACTGCTCTTCATTTTACTGCCACAATTGGTAGTTAAGTTGATTTGCAATCAATTAGGCTATAGTGAACTGGAGTACATTCATTCAAGCAAGCTCTTGTAGCGTGTGTTTTCTCTGTGTTTCTTTCAATATTTTGTAGTCGATAATCTCCTCTGAAATTATACTAAAACAATTATTCGCCACGGGCACAGTGAATCAATGCAAATATTCTCCTTCACTTTGTTTCAGGGTATATTTGCCTTGGTTCAGTTGTTAAATATTAAAGGGGTGAGGGTGATGGTCGAGTTTCAAACCTTCTGGTAAACTCACTTATATGCATCAGTCAATTCCAACAGTGCTCATCCCCCCAGGCTAACCCCGGGGCATTAGCATTTTGTTGGCAAATTCCCCAGGGTGGGGAACGCATAAGCTGGCAAATGCCCCGCCCCCAGGATCGTATAAAAACTAATAGATAATATGAACACTGCGCAGGCAACGTTCTCTTTGGAGAATTGTGACATTTTCAAAGATATTCATAACTTTTCCGTCTATAACTTGCGTATTAGAGATAACTCATTTAAATTCACAAAACGAAGCACAAAGTCAACTCAGTGTTTGTTGCATGCAAAATGCATTTTTTTGTTTGCCGCATAATTTGGCTTCTAATTGATTTTTTAATACATGATATCATATAGTTGCTTCTATAAAGCACTGGAAAACTTTCTAAAATTAGAAAACTTACATTTAAAAATCTCAACAAGTTTCTCTTGTCGTTTGCGGACAAGCCACTGTGACACGAAATCCAAATATTTTTCCACGAAAGCCTCAATCACGAAGGTATAAAACAGGCAACTTAACGTCGACATGTTTTGTGCGCGTACAAGTTACTTCTTCTGATAGCGTACGATTTCTTAAATCAGGCTAGTGTGAATAGATTCATACCTTGTTTAAACAGGAAATAACTTGGTTGGAAATCATGAACGATTCGAGCATTTCCACCACATGGTCTTCTGACATTCCCAAGGACTTCGCTAAACAGCGATAGAAGCATCGGTTTTTGACCACCGGTGGATCAAAATGTAAGGTAAGGCCTCTTTTGCTGGCCTCAACAAGGGTTTGCAATCGTCTGTTTGACATCTGTTTAGTATGGAAATGATATACAGCTACTTGATTTACATGTATGCAAATGCATTCAAATTAGAAGCCATAAATAAAACTTTAATATCGTATCGGTTGTTAAAAGTTGTATTGAACATAATAAAATAAAAACACGTACCTTTACAAAAGGATGGCAACGATTAAGACAGATAGCAGACAAAATCTCTTCCCGATTATCAAAATGGCGTAGACCACGCGTACGAACCAAGGAGAAGGGACGAGAAGAAAAACTGGGAACGACTTAATTCATGTCTCACGTGTTGCCAGTGCCTCGCGACGTGCCTCGCATTTTCTGCATGCCTCGCGTGTCTGCCTCGCATGGCTCGCATGCCTCGCATGGCTCGCTGGCTCGCACATTGTGCATCCCCGGACTTTGGCATCCCTCAGAAAGAGATGTCTTTTGCCTGAGATTTTGATCCAAAAGTAAGTAGCCAGGAAAATACCACTATTCATTATCTGCATGTACTTACAGTTACTATACGCACCACTGCATGCAAGTACATGCAAATAGACCAGTTGGCAATTCATTATAATGTGTTAGAGCTGGTATTGAAGTGTAGTTTTTAACATTTACTTACCCGAGTGATGATAATTGTGCAAGTCTAGGTTCGTTTATGAAATGGTTTGGAACTCCTCAGTTCCTTAAAAATGACGAATCTTTTCATAATAAAAGCATATTAATGAAGCATAAACCTTATGTGCTGATCAATTGAAAATTTCAACATCCCCCCTGCCCCCCACCCCGGGTATTTGACACACTATTTTGTGGTAAATTGTCATTGTTATCATTGGTAGAAATACGCCCAACTTACTTTTAGACGTCCAAAACACTCACCATAAATTAATCCACACCCCAAACTACATGCAAAAGTACCCTGGGTGTGACACGGTGTGATCCCCCCTTTGAAAATTCCTAGCTATGCCCCTGATGTTTTGTTGATATTATATTTTTGACAGGATCATGTAAAACTGGAAATTTCAAATCTCTGTTCTGTAAATTGATCCTTTAGTTCCAGACCTTTCAAGGCAAGAAGGAAGGTTTTAAATAATTTTTTGGAGGGAGTTAGATTTTGCGATTCCCTCTTTATACAAAGAGGTAAGTTTTAAATTCAATTCCGGCCATAGTACCACACTGCATTACAAATCAGAATTTCTCAAGCTCAGTTGGAATTTGAGATCATATATTTTTGTTTTGTCTTGTCGCTTTACACTTAAAAAAAAAAAAAAAAAAGAATAACGAATGGTGCTGGCTATCCACAACGTCCATCCAACATGGATTTCAGTGAAATTTGTTTTTGCTTTTAAACTTAGATGAAACTTTATTGTGCGTTTAGTCGAGGGCACTTATATATTGGGTCACCTTGGCTGTGTAATTTCCTTTTCTATCGTAGGTATGGCAGACAATGATAGCGACGAGGAACCGGTCTTTTCTTTAACTATATATGCTAGCTTTGGCAGGAGTGATGAGATCAGCTGATCTGACAATTTTAAAACCTTCCTTCTTGCCTTGAAAGACCTGGGACTAAAGAATCAATTTATAGAACTGAGATCTGATATTTCCGGTTTTGCGTGACCCTGTGAAGAATATGATATCACCAAAACATCATTGTAATGTTCTGTTTTTAAGAGCTTGGGAAGATTTGAAAACCGTTTAGGACATTTTTTACCAAATTCTGACCTGCAACCTGCAAATTACACCCCTCGAGTGGAAATATAACCATGGCCATGTAATATTTTTAGAGGCAATAAAGATGTCACCTAAAATTCCAATTTTCCCTCACCTGAGATCATGCTCTGAGAACCGCTAAAATTGGACCTGATCTTAGGTTAAATTTTCCCATGGGCAACGAATCAAAAAAAGCAAAATATGTTGAATCGAAAATAATGATCTTTTTTAAATGCCCTCAAACTTACTCCATTTTCCATAAAGTATTTACTTTTTGTTATCTGCTATACCTGAACAAAGTGGGGAGAACCCAATCTGGAACATAAATATGTACACAATGCTATTTTCTGTCATGGACTTCTATTTGACAAAAATTATGCAACAATCAAATATAACAGATTTTAGTGAAAGGATACTCTTAAAAGTTTATTATTACAATAACACGAGTAATAATTTGTTCATTGTAGTTTAGAGGAATGGAATGAAAGTCTCCAGCACAGAAATTAGTCTAAAGAAAGCTCTGATTTATAAAGACAAGAATGCATTTCAGCTACAGCACATACACCACATATAGCATCAGGTATAGAATATAATTTCTGCAAGTTTGTCTTGATTTTGAATAATAAACTACCAGAAGGTGTTAAACAAATTTCAGTAATTATGTTGGCATGAAATGACCTTGATACTATATTTTTTGCTCATGATCAGAGAGAGATTTTCTTACAAAACTTTTTTCCAACAAAATTAATCTGCAGAATATCACCCTCCCCCTCCAATCAAACTGAGTCTGGTATTAGGGTGTGTTTTGTAACTCAGAAACTCTTATGGCAGTGGGTAAAAGCAGATAGAAAAAGAAACTCTCTGGAAACATCTGATGTGAGGAATTCTTCTATGTTATTTTAGAAAACACATTCAAGCCAAAACAGGATGATCAAGCTATGTCCTCTTTATGTCAGATATTTGACCTCTACTGGGCCTCTTATGACTTGTCATGCCCTCAAGAGAAAAAGAGAGAAAGAAAATAGTTACAGTGAGGTACTGTAATACATGTAACTGTTGACTTTGGAATTGTTAAAAATTTTATTTTAAGAGTTTGTTGAACAGAGCCAGAATTAAGGTGGCTTGACTGGATTTAGGGGGGATACCCCCCAATTTTGAGCATTAACTATGTCAGCCTGAGTAAAGATATCCATGGGAAAAAGGTTACCCCAACTGTATTATATAAAGATGAAAATTTCTCATGATCTGGGTTTTATTGCAATTATTGGAGTCACCATGGCAATGTAATGACACCATTACATTTTTTATTTATCTTTGTGTTTCTCTGTACCAGGAGTGTTTTTAAGAAAACGCTTAAGAGATTATGTACCTGCCATAATTGCCTCAATTAAGGCATTTTGGAAATACAGTGTATTTTCAAACAAAGTTTTAAGAATCATAAAAGCAGTGAAATAGCATGCCAGCCACACAACTAGCTAATCTTTTAAGGAAATCACAGCAACTCTTTCTAAAAGTTGCTGTGATGTTGTAGCCCAAGTAAGATAATAATTGTGAAAGGTTTGAACCCAGGAGTCATTTCAAAAGCAGGTTGAGTTTGATTGTCCGGGTGAACGTAGTCCTGAATAGGACAGTTGTTGTTGACAGTGACTGACGTTTCGACAACCTGTGTGGTAGTCATCTTCAGAGTCAAAGTGAGTTGTTATCACATCAGTTGATGGTATTATACTCTGGTTATTAATCTGGTTGGTCAATTACATTGCAATGTTATCGGTCATCTGTCAGTTAAGCCGTGATGTTATTGGCTATGAAGACTCGTAATCAGTAATCGATCCGTCTATTGTCACAGTTAAACAGTCGTCTATTGTTAGTGAAATTGTCAGTTCTCCATTAGTTCTCCGGTACATGTAGTTAGTTGTATTACATCCTACATGATGAGCCGTGATGTTCACCGTTTCGATTCTCACTGCTATCCATGAGACAAGGCAATTATTAGCATTTTCCGGATATTTCTTTGGAAAGTAATTATTTAGAGTTCTTTTAAATGTAAATTTATTTCTTTTGCTAATTGTACATGTGCATATATATGAAACTTGAAAACAATGCCACTGAATAATGAGGACACTCACTAAGGGAAAATATGGTTATACACGGTTGTCAAAAGTAGCCGGCTGCCGGTAAAAAGTGCCACCTTCTTGGTTAGTATCGGCCGGCTACTCTGCTTGGCATTTCTTTGCAGATGACCTTTTTTAAATAAAATATCCCTGGACTGGCTGCTTACTTTGACAACTCAGTCATCTACTTCAAAACTTTCTGACAACCCCGGTTATATTGGAGGCCCTTTTTAAAAGCCTTCACTATTTTCAATGTTCTTGAAACTTGCAGGGTATATTTATTAACAATTGACCTTGAGATTGGTAAGTTTATGAAAAAATTTATCAAGTGGTTTTTTGAATAAATTATGTGAAATTTGTAGGCATGGACCAAATTATGTGCAAAAACTGTAACAAAAGCAGCTGAATGCAGGTTAATAAAATTCTTCTCACTCGCGTTCGCCCAGAGCAATTCCCCTCTTTCTATTTGTACACAGTTTTCAATGGAATCAAATCATTATGAGATGAAACCGTTCTTCGAAAGCTTAACATTTTCTTAACATATTAGCTAATTGTGTGGATATATAGCATGCTATTTCACTGTTTTTATGATTCTAAAAACTTGTTTCAAAAAATTTCCAAAATGCTCTCACAGAATTTGTTCAAACTTTGCTATAATTGAAGCAATTATGGCAGGTACATACTCCCTTAAGCCTTTGCTAAAAAACACTCCTGGTACAGAGAAACACAAAAATAAATAAAAAACGTATTGGTTTCATTAGGTTGCCATGGCGACTCCATTTGCAATAAAACCTAGATAATAAGAAATTTTCATGTTTATATAATACAGGAATGTTGTGGTAGCCTTTTTCCCATGTCTTTACTCATGCTGATGTAGTTAATGCTTAAACTTGGAAGGTATTCCCCCTAAAAAATCCAGTCAAGCCACCGTATTTAATTTTGTTTTCTCTGTCATACCTTTTTCTGCAATCTTTCATAGGTAAAGAGAGATGAGGAAGTGAAGAAACCTATCAGGTCTGGATCCCCCAATGACATTAGGAACAAGGAGGATATCTCAAAAAACGATCAGAAATCTCCCCTGTACCTACTAAAGCTGTTATCCCACCTCTCAATTCTGACAATGAAGATAACAAGTGAGGTCTTATTTGCATAAGGCAGCTATTCCTGAAGAAGGCACAGATGGTGACAGGTGAAAGAAGGGCAAAGGGACGAGCCTTGCTGGAAGCTTTGGAAAGGCCAGGCATCAGTCAGCTTCAGGTGCGGGAGTTCCTAGAGCTCTCTGATGAAAACGGACAAGTGAGACCAGCCCCTTCAAAGCAGTCTGAAAAACCTTTTTTCATTCCTGAGTCTCCTTTGTAATAGTTATCCTTTTAGTTCAGCTCATCGTTGTTTTGTTGTTTTGTTTTGTTTTTTATCCCATTCCTCTCCTGGGAATTTTGCTGAGAAACTTGTTTTGAAGCTAGTGGCTTCGTTTTGTAGTCACTGTCTGGCTTATGAGCTAAATCTTACCAGAAGACTGTTTAAAGGCCATGTAGTTCACAGCATTCAGTTACAGATGCAAATTGAAAATGTTATTTTCAAAAGTTGGGGCATGCATAGAAAGTATGAGCTGGTTTTGTGGTTTTAATGTAACACAGCTCCAGTCACAAATTTCGCTTTCCCTTCTTTATTCGCTTTATTGCTACCCTTTTTTTCTTTCAATGGACACTACTGTTACTGGCTTCATTTGGGTGGGGAAATATTGGGAAAGCTTTTAAATAGTAGGATAGCAGGAAGTGATTGGTTAATTGGAACATAATTATTTTTGCAATTTTTAAATCAATGTTACATGGTTTTTTTGTCTTTTCCTCTGGCCCCCTGTACTGAATATTTGTGCTCACTCTTCCTCTACTTCAAAGCTTTCTTTGACAAGGGCATTGAGAATGAAATGAAAGCAGTGCAGTGGCTATAAAGCTAATAAAATACAGTGCATGATACAATGCCAAAGAAAATTTTTTGTTAAGTACAGTTATGAGAGGAGAAGTAATAGTAAAGACCTTTACTAGCTTGTGGTTGTTACCGCAGATGCTATGTTTCCCCAATGTAGGTCATGTGTGACAACATTTAGGGCATGGAAATCAAGCCTAGCCATGTGATGGTGCTCCAAAAAATGCCTTCTTTAAAATTGTGTATAAGTCACATCAATAATTTTTGGACACAAGACCTATATAAATTTTAAGGTTATGATGGGTAAATTGTTGTGAGAACACCTCTTCATTCACACTGGGGGAAAGCAAAACACAAGCTAAAAGGAATTGACTGTCTCTTCTTAAGATGTTATACCACTGTCTAATATTCAGCATAAAAGCTACAATCCTGCATTGAAAGTCTTTGGAACAATGATTGAGTATTTGTAATTTATTTGTGCCCTGGCTCATAGCCAGGTGCTACCCTTTTAAAAAATACCCTGTACTAAATCTATCACTGTTTCCCCACACCCTTTACATATTGAAACTGTGTGCATATATCCAACATATTTCCTGTAGGGTGCACAATAGGGTTGGGCATGCATGATTTTACATGAAAAACACAAATTAACTCTAACTTGTTATAAGAAATTTGTCCATGCTTTTCTCAACAAAGGTATGATTAATAGCAATCCAACAGAGAAGGAAGGGTAAGCCTTGCTGGAAGCAGTGAAATATTGTTTCAACATGAGAAGAGAAATTTCATATTTCCGAGCGGCCATGCAATATGTTCCATTTATTTTATACCACTGAAATACTTAACCATTTCACTTATTAAATGAATAATTTTTTTTCTGTAAAAGGTGTGAGTTGTGATATTGTACCATAGCAGTGGTGATCTTTTCACATGCAAAGTAGACTACGTGTAGTCCCCCATTTTTCCTCAGGGATAGTAGAGCGAGCGAAACGCGAGCGCGCGTAAAAATCACCCCACGCGAGAAAAGGCGCGCGTGGGGTGATTTTCACGCCCGCTCGCGTTTCGCTCGCTCTACTATCCCTGAGGAAAAATGGGGGACTACTCGTAGTTTACATGCAAAGATAACTTACTTGTTATTTTGACATGTGAAGATATCATGTTTTCGAACACAAGCTCACCCAATATTTCATTGGCGTTTATAAAAATATGATAAAAAGCATATTTCTTTTATTTTTCTGAATTGGGCCCTTATGGAAGAGATCTAGAATCATCCAGCTTCAATTTCTGTCTACAGCTGGTTGATGTGTGAAGTGACCAGCACTGATTTATGTAGTGTTTTATATAGCTTTTTATCACTTAATGTTTTTTACTAAGTATTTTACAAAACAAATAATAATTCAATATTGCTCAGGTTTAAAACTTCAGCTGTTCAATAACTTCATACATTTTGTATCCTTGTAATGTCAGTTTCAATGTTATGCCTACCGCTTACCAGTATGTTTCTTTTAATAATTCTACTTAAGTGTAGCTCATATTATAGTTACCATTAAAGAACGAAGCATATACTTGTGTACTGTCCTCGTTTCGCAGGGCTTTTGCCCCGTTTCATAGCTTTACCGTGCTTGTTTTGACTCATGGCTTTAAGCGTGCCAGTCCGTCTCGAATAAAGGGCCTGGGGGACTTAGGGTTTAAAGAACGAGTTATGTTAGGTGGGTACCGTGCTTGTTTCGACACGTGGGTTTAAGAACGCGTTATGCCATTCGCGTAGCGTGCTCGTTTCGGCTCATTGCTTTAAGAACGAGTTATTATTTTTGTGTAGCGTGCTTGTTTTGACTCATCGCTTTAAGAACGACTTATGTGTACCGACGTCCGTGCTTGTTTCGACTCATGGCTTTAAGAACGAGTTCTGTTGCCTGTTGGGCTTGCCATTCTCGACTTAGGGCTTAAAGAACGAGTTATGTTACACGTTCAGTGTGCTTGTTTTGACTCGTGGCACGACTAGACTTCCTGAGATTCCATCGGAATAGATGTGTTTCCAATGGATCCGATGGACTCCATCGGACGACTTTCCAACCCTCCTCTAAGTATTGTTCACACTTCCGGTTTCATGTCATGACTAAACTTCCGGTAACTCAAGTGGACTCTACTGAACTTCCGGTTTCATTTTTCGACTAGACTCCGTCGGACTCCAGGTTTTGTCCACTGGAATCTGGTCGAGAGTATTGGACATGTGTGATACCCCGTGGCAACAGGGAGGAGAGTTCTTGGGATTCCCCTCCCCTTGGAAGTTTACATGATTAGTGTGTGACGGTCTACTCACCCAATGTAGCCATCTCCCAAAGAACAACACCAAAAGACCAACTATAGAGAAAAGCACAGAGGTCGTGAATATTCCCACTGCATTAACATTACTTTTCCTTTCTTCTTTTTACTTGGTGAACTTAAGGCAAAAGGGTGTATCTCCACCTTTCCAAGCCTTCGCCCTTGACTGAACCCTATGACACCAGGCCTCAGCTGCTCAAAGCCCTTAGCCAATGCCTAGCAAGGTTAATAGAGTAGGGATCGGAAAAGAATACCAATTTAGGTGACGGGTCTGCCGCATAATCGTAACTAAATGATCTTTACATACACTCCGAATTAAGAATTCAGCAGACGCCGCTCCCGCTCAGGACTTATATGCAAACTATGTAGTCCGACTCGAAATTATAGTGACAAGTACGAAATCAGCCACTATAACCACTGAAATTCTAGATCGGTTTGAAATAAACTCGCTGATCACGACTTTTAGGGAAGCTGACTGAGGTTTTGTGAGCAGTTTTGTGGGATTTTTTTATACTCACACATCACTTTTGGTGGTGTAAAGGCTTTGATAAAGTGATTCTGGGGCCATCCATTTTACAGGAAGTTTTTTGGACTTCGCTGAGCTGCTCACATCTTCATAGATTTGTCTCATCAACCCAAAGTCTGACACTTTGATTTGGTTGTCATGGCCAACAAGAACATTACGGGCAGCAAGGTCTCTGTGAACAAGATTGTTTTCGGCGAGATGATTCTAATTTTAAGAAGGAAAGAGAAAAAATGAAAATAAGTACCATAAAACTTCAGTTACGGGGCTACTATTGCCTAAAAAGGCATGGGTGAAGGCGTGAAAATTATAGGAGCCAATAATCAAAAGTAAAATATCACAACTGAACTGATCTAAACGGCTGATTCAAGTTCAGACAAAACATGCCGAATTTGGTTCGACTGACTATGACAATTTCTCCTCTAAAAACCATTAATCATCTAGAAAATTAAATTATTTACCCTTTTTTTCTTGCTTGTGGAATAGTCTTTGATAACGATCTTTGAAGGATGAAAACAAAACCTGAATGGAAGCAACGTTGCTCAGAAAATAATCATATAGTAATTACCATTCCTTTAGCAATTTGCCAAGCAAATGAAAAGAGTTGTTTGGTTCGAAAGTTCTCCTCCCCGTCTTCTTCATCACTGCTGAGATCCTCGTGTATGCTTTCGATTACAGGTGGCATGGCCGGTGAAGGCTTCGCTTGACTTTTTCCTGTTGCCGCTTGGCTGCTTAGTAGCCAGTCTTTGTCCATTATTTTCCACTCCACATCCTTGGAGAAATTTACAAAAAAATAAATAATGGTCTAGCTTAAAAAACTCGAAGAAATCGTACAGATCGACTTAATCGCTAAGACGCAGCTTTTGCGCAACTAGAACTCGGCCAGCCGAGAGGTCTGATCGAGATCATTCAGCCGCTATTTCCAAAGCCTTGAACGTCTTTGTGAACGGCCATTCTTCAGGCGTTGCGGTCTGTGGCGAAGGTTTGCCATCGAAGAGTGGGATTCGATTCAGTTTTTTGTTTCAGGGCTTCTTTGAACCTCTTTAGTGGGTGTCCAATGCTACGTGTACCGCTGGCCACCTCAGAGAAGTGAAGTTCCTCTTTTGCTTGTCTTAGGTAGTTCGCATTGTCAGAGTTGGGGGGACGCTTATTTTTCAAATAGGCTTTCTTCAACTCGTTCCTTTTCTCCTTAACAAGTTCTTTCTCCCAGGGCACTCGTTTTTTCACTCGTTTCTTCTTAGGAATACACTTCCCAGCTGCATCCATTTGATCATCGTAGTATACAGATCGTTCACAGTGTGTTTTTCCTCAAGCTCGTACATGGCCTCAAACCGATTCCCAACTTCCACAGTATAAGCCTCTCTTACGGAATGGCTGGTGCTAAAACAATGCCAGTCGAAACTGGTACGTTGGTAGTTGTTTTCCCATTGGTTAGCAAACTGAGGCGTAGTTTAGTTACGAAAATTTTATGGTCTGAATATACTGTACTGAAAGGGTCATATGCCTGACAGTCTTTGAGAGACTGTTCCACTATTTCCTGTTTACCACTATATAATCAAGTTTGGCTTTGCAACCATTTGGGTACATGAACGTCCACAACTTTTAAAGCTCTTTTGGAAGCGTGTGTTATAAATTATAAGCTCACATTCAGTAGCCATATCCAACTTAAACGTCTTTTTTCCAAAGCTAAACCCATTACAGTCTAAGGGACTGTTTTGTGCATTCAAATAATACCACATATGATCTTAAAGTTATGTCCAGGTAGCTTCTTTTTTAATTCAGAGAGTGTGTTGTAGAAGTCTAGAGCATCGCTGTCATCCGAGCAGTTCGATGGACTGAGCAGCATATAATAGTAGTAGCAGCGTTGTCACTTAAGTTTGCCACGATGATTCGGCTAATCACTACCACAATATTGCCCTCGAGGGAGTTGTAAGCAGAGTTGCTTAGTAGCATACCCACTCCTCCCACGCAACTGTTCACGGACTTCCTCCAGCACGAGAAGGTGGCCAAGATCCAGCCCTTGCCGACATCAGTATAGTGCACGTCCGCATTATGGTGAAATTTTCGATGTTCCTGCAGACAAACAACAGATATTCCTTTTTCCTCCGCCAGCGCGGTAAGCTCTCTAATCTTCTCAATGGAGCTGAGTGAACGGATGTTAAAAGTTGACACCAGAGTGTTTATCTAGCATCTTAAGAGTCTTCCAGTAGCTTACTTATCAACTCCAACATGGTTGCCCATTGGGGGACTCGGCCCTTGTTTATCCCGGCGAGGACCGAGCAAGTATGTAGAGAAGTTTGCAGTGTTTATCAAATCAATGTTTTTCTAGGCTCACTGAGACAAATCCCAGCAAGCGATGCTGGAGGAGCGCCAGACCTTCCAGCGGTGGGCTCGTTTTCTGTAGGGGTAGTCTCCCTTCGCCTGTGGCAAAAACAAAAACCTGACTGCCAGGCGACAGTGTCGTGACCTTGACAGGCCTAACGGGTGCTACGCCTTGCCCAAGGGCTACCCGGAACTATGCAATGCAGGGTAGGGACGTTCATGACCGTGAGGTACCAAATGCACCAAGTACACCAAGTACCCGTATACCCATACCCGCATTACTTGTAGTGGTATATAATTATAAAACTTCTTACTTGATTTTCAGCGGAAGTTGAGGGAATCACTTCAAGAACGGCATCTTTGTCGCTTTGCTGTGCAATGTTCACTTGTTCGTTGTGTGCAGAATGTTCATCGTCCATAGCCTCACTATTACAGCCGAACCTTTGCTAAATGATTTTTAAAAAAGGCGATTCATTTATATGTATGAAAATTGGAACATTACATTGTAGAAGCTACTGTCTGTAACTAAAAATTAAAATATCACACAAGTTTAAGCAGACTACTGCCTTTTTCTTCTTATTGTTTTATTTGCTAGTTCCCTCAGCTTAAAATCCAATTTAAATCATGCTATAAAATCTTATGCACTAATAATTATCTTCCATGAGTTTCGGGGTAGTTGTGCTAAAACTATGTAATTCGACTAACAGAAGACAGAAAGGAGGTGAATTTATTCATTTAAAGTTCCACTGAAATAAGATGGAAATTTTATTTACCATTCTTCAGAAACCAAGATATTTAATTCAATAACTATAGTCTTTTGTTACGTGATATCTCTTCAGTCACTGAAACGTCACCTTTCGCTTCGCCCAATGCTCTTAGGAATGAAATATATCATGTTACACCCTTCGTATCGCGAGACAAGGCATCCTCGGAGAGCCAGAGGTAGTCAGCCGGGTCGGGAGAAAAGGCGCGGCAAAAAAAAGTTTCCAAGCAAGGGCGGAAGAGCCCCTGGGTGCTGACCCTTACTAAACCATTTCGCAACGGTCAAGCTGATTGTGTGCAAAGAATGCTTTATATTATTGTGCCCAATCGATAAACAGCATCTCCTGAGTTCTTTTCGTGTGTTCGTACACGACTGCTATTGTCTCGCCATTATGATACTTGTCTCGCTCTTGTACCAAAGAAACATACGCTCTCAGGAAACTTTCAGTTTGATATAAAGCCTGTCCATGAATTCCAAAAAACTGCAACTGTCTACCCGAAAACTAAAATATGGAAACGTATGTAAGGGTATTAAAAAGATGCTTATCAAAAAACGTGAACTTGAGCTTAAAACACGTATTCAAGCTTGCACTGATCCTTATCGATCACGCCATCGTAAATATCATTCACGATACCTTGTGGCAGAATGGTCTAGGAGCAAATTGGAACGGTCCTGCCGTTGGCATCTGAAACGTCTTCCCAAATCATCGGTAGTTCCTCCGTTTCTGGTAGGGGCAAGGTAGGAAAAGCCAAGAATCCCCTTACACGCCCAACCTTGGTGAAAGAACCGGACAAGTATCGCGAGATAATAGCCGTCGTGTACGAACACACGAAAAGAAAATAGGAGCCCCTGTTCGCCCATTGGGCAAAATAATACAAAGCATTTTTTTTGTGCCCAATCAGGTGTCAGTACTCGCTGGATTGTTTGGAAATAGTCTGGTGAGAGTCGGTACCCAGGGACTCTAACGTTTTCTCCCGAACCACCTGACTGCCCCTTTGCCTCCAAGGATGGAGACAAGGCCGCTTGTGGCTTGAGTGTGTATATTATCAGCTCCGGCACTTTGGAATGTATTACCGCGTGCGATTCGTTCTATTACAGATCTAGGGATTTTTAAGTGCCATCTGAAAACGCACCTCTTTAGGAAAGCTTTTTATTAATTTATTAATTTTTATCACGATAATTACTGGTATCTTAATATATGCTGTATATTTTAATTTTATCATAGTATATTTTAAATAATTATAGTTAGATACCTTGTATTAAATTATTATAGATAGAAATCATGTAATGCGCGCTTGATCATTTCATAGAAAGCGCGCAATATAAGAATTAAGTTTATTATTATTATTATTATTATTATTATTATTATTAAAATTCTTACATCAGGGAGACTGTGAGTGGTTGACGCCATGTCCTTTGGGACGTCACTCTGGCGCAATGAGATCATTTCCATGGTGACCTGAGCCTGCTCTTCCTTTGCCGTTTTCTTCAAAAGTTTGCCTGCTTGTTTTTGCTACGAAGAAGGAAAGACCGTTCAATCCACCCCATAAAAAAAGACATCGAACAAATTTTATCCGAGGGAATTAAACATAATAACTTTTTGGTGATTTTTGTAAGCATGGAAACAATTTCTGTGTCTTAATAAAATCTTAGGACGTTTTCCATTTGTGAGAACTGACCGGCCAGACCATTCCAGTCATAATGAGAATTTCACTTTTAATCAAAACTATCAGTCAGATCCCAAATAGCGGGCACAAAGGAAATGGTGTTTCAACAAAAGCTATTGGAAAAAAGCATTTTTCATTGTCAAAATGACTGGTGCCTGCTATGGTCTGGCCGGCCAGTTCTGACTTTTGGAAAGCCCCCTTAATGAAGTCTTTGATTACGTACAATGAGCCGTCAGTCAGACACAGGGAACGAAAAACAAACGGTTTGGGGACTTTGAAGAACAGAAAAAATATCAGGGTCAAACAAGAATGGATGAAATATTGAATCATTGAGAATTTACCAAGGAATTGTGCTGACGGTGGTAGAGTTGCTCTAGTTTACAGGAGATGTTTTAAGGTCAAGAGGGATGTACAAATGATCCACAGGAGTTTTGAACTCATTAATATTCATATTACATCAGTTTACAATCATAATCTTAGGCTTGTCGTTACTTACCGAGCTCCACCTATTCCTGGGAATGGATTCACGGTCAGAATGTTTTTGGAGGAGTTTAGTTCTTTTCTGGAGGGACTTGTTTCGACTACTAGTGCCCTGTTAGTCGCTGGCGACTTTAATTTTCATATTGACGAGCCTAATGATTGCGATGCTCGACGATTCTTACAAGTCCTGGAATCGTTTGATTTGATCCAGCACGTTTCTGATGATGCGACTCATAAGAAAGGTCACATACTCGATTTGATTATAACGAGAGCTCATGAGAAATTAGTTGGCCGCTGTACTGTGGACAATCCTTTTGTCTCAGATCATCTTGCTGTACACAGTTTGTTGGACCTTGCTAAATTACCACTCGAGCGTAAACGAATCTCATATCGCAAAATTCGTGATATTGATTTTAGCGAGTTTTGTGGTCAGTTGGTCACCAGGCTAGTAAGGGATGCTGCTTCTTTTAGTCTCGGTGAACTTGTTTATGAGTATAACACTACATTAAAGTCGTTGTTAGACAGACACGCGCCTCTGAAGACTAAGACCATTACTCTTCGCCCAACCGCCCTATGGTACACTGAGGAAATACGATCTGAAAAGAAAAAACGCAGAGCTCTCGAGCGGCGCTGGCGTTCTTCAAAACGAGAATCGGATTATTCTAGATTTAAGGAACAATGCCCTAGAGTGAACGCTTTGATCAAGAAAACGAAAGTTGACTATTACTCAGGCATTATACGGGAGAGTAGTAATAATCCCCGAACTCTTTTCAATACGGTAAATAAGCTCTTACATAAGCGCGTGCCCGTAGAGTATCCTTCAGGGTGTGCGTCTGATGGTGATCTTGCTAACAAGTTCATTGACTTCTTTGGTGAGAAGATAACAGTTCTGCGAAACTCACTTGACTCCACATCTGATATTGTTGTGCAGTCTGATGCCATTGTCCATCAGTGTGCCTTGTCTTTATGTCTAGCTGTTTTTGCAGACTGTTTTAAGCTTGCATTGTTGAATCCTCTTATCAAAAAGCCCACACTTGATGTTGAAGTTTTTTCGAATTTTCGTCCTATTTCAAATTTGATGTTCATGTATAAACTTACTGAGAAGGTGGTGGCATCTCAGTTGATTAATCACATTTCTAGTAATGGACTTGATGAAATACTACAATCTGCATATAAACAATTTCATAGTACCGAAACAGCTTTAGTCAAAGTTTTTAATGATATTATCCTAGACGTTGATAGGAATAGGACTGTTATCTTACTTTTATTAGATCCATCGGCCGCTTTCGATACGGTTGATCACACTATACTGATTGAGAGATTAGCAAACCGCTTCGGTCTTTGCGATCTAGCTCTGGCCTGGTTTAAACAATACCTGAGCGACAGAACTCATTTTGTGAGCATTCGTGGTGCGCGGTCTGTCATGCGTTCGCTGTCGTGGAGAGTACCACAGGGCTCCGTGCTTGGACCGATTTTATATCTGCTCTATACCTCACCATTGGGGGATATTGTCAGAAAATACAACATGGGCTATCATTTCTATGCTGATGATACTCAGTTGTATCTGTCTTTCAATTCTCTCAGTGGGGATGATAAAGCTTATTCTGTCTCTCAGGTTGAATCTTGTGTTAGAGATATCGACCGTTGGATGTCTTGTAACAAACTTAAGTTGAATAGGGACAAGACGGAACTGCTCGTTATCAGTTCAAAATATCGGCCACGCCCATCTTTAGATAGTATCCTGGTTGGTGATCATCGTGTAAAGCGGTCTGACAAAGCTAGGAACATAGGAGTTGTTTTTGATGAGACCTTGTCACTGGATAAGCATGTGAGTTCCGTTTGTAAATCTTTATTTCATCTTCGGAATATCGCGAAGATTAGAATGTATCTGACTTCTGAGAGCACAAAGACCCTCGTCCATGCTTATGTTACTTGTCGACTGGACAATTGTAACTCGTTGCTCCTCGGGTCACCGGAGTATATTATTCAGAAGCTCCAGCGCGTTCAAAACTGCGCTGCACGCCTTGTAGCTGAGCAACCTAGGGCTGCGCACATTCGCCCCGTCCTTAAGGAGCTACACTGGTTACCTATGGAGCAGCGAATTACCTTTAAAGTATTACTGTTAACTTTTAAAGCTCTCAATAATCTGGCGCCTCCGTATTTAAGTCAACTTATAGTCCCATATAACCCGACAAGAAATCTTAGGTCAGCTAGCAAACATTTATTAGAAGTACCGAATGTGCGCCTGAAGAGCTATGGGGACAGGGCCTTTTCTGTCGCTGCCCCAAAGCACTGGAATGATATTCCCTTAGACATTAAATTAAGTGGATCAGTTGATGTTTTTAAATCTAGATTTTTAGACTCGCTTTCAATTGACTTTTTAGTGCTATTGTTAGTTAGTTATTTTCTTTTTTGATTGTAAAGCGATATAGAGCTTTTGTATATACCGCTATACAAATAAAGTTATTATTATTATTATTATCAGTACATTTTGTTAACAAGCCTACCTTATCTCTGCTCTCTTCCTGATCTTTCAGAACCTCTTTGTCAGCATATGATCTCTCGGAGGCTTTAAGTTCGTTGATCTAGACTTCCAGCAACCAACGTTATCAGTTTCGTAACAAATAAAGACCAATACATCTGTGTGACTTGGCTTAAAGGTGCCCGCAAAGTTTTCGCTTGAACACGGGCATCAAGCCAGGGAAGCCAAAAAAATCCAGAGAGCTTATCAGAGAGCTTAGGCCCGGACCTAGTAGAGGATGGGTGGCTGGCTTTTTTGTGTCAAAAGTAGGGGGTAGGTAGGGGAGATTTTGTCACTTTGATAGATTTTCAAGCCAGAATGAAGTTCAAAGTCAAGGAAGTTTCCCTGTAAGCTAGCCCAGCCAAATAAATCCTGTGACTCATAATCGTAACACTACTAGCAGAGCTTGGGGGAGTGAGTTTCATGGGTGGTGAGGATGAGTTCTTGCTCCTTGGACTTGGCTGTCCTGTAGAGTGAGTGCAGGCACCTTGTATCAAATCCAGTCAAATACATGATAATGTTGAAATATTTTCCCTTAAGCACTGAGTAATCTCGAGAGAAAGTATTTTCTCTTTGTAACAAGTTTTTTAAAAAAATCTTATGATTTCAATAACAAGGACTTTACCGGGTATGAAATTGGCATCTTCGCAGATGTAAATCTGCAATAGTCCAAATACATGATAGGGCGGGTAGCTATATAGTCATAAAAAATGGTGGTCTGCCCTTTCAGAACACGAGAACACGCTGCAATGATTTTCTTACCTTTTTTCTTCTGCGGCGTAGCCACGTCAAGAGGTCACCACAGGGAACGTATTCTATGACCAGGAACATTTTCTCTTCAAGCGTGCAGCATCCAACCATGGATACAACGTTCTTATGAGAGCCTAACAGTTTCATTTGTTCAATCTCAAACGTGAACTCTTCTATCTGCGCCTCAGATGGATCATCTAAAGACAATTTGATAAAATGATTATGTCTTCTTCATTCTTCCTGTGACAGCATGTTATTTCAGTGCTAGATTTTTTATTTGCATGACAGATATTCATCCCGTTTTATCGCACGCATTCTCCTATGCACAAAAGGACAGATAGATTATTCCTTCTAAGTGCATTTCAGTTTAATAGTCACTTTACCACCCCATCTTCTTTGATAGCAGCCTTGGAGGGGATGCACTGTCTGGAACAGTCAGGGTGGGTGAGGCATGCTACCTTGAGCTCCTACCCTATTTACCCTCAGGCCTCAGCTGTTGTTTTCGAAGGAGAACAGTGGTGAAAAGAATAATCGACAATAACAACATTACTAACAAGAACCAAAGCAAACGAAATAAAAAAAATTGGTTTTTTTCGACTGATTTTCTGCAGGAGCCCATCAAATGGAGCCTCCATCTCCCATACAAGCCCTTGGAGTCAACCCTTTCCCGAGTAGATTTATAATTAGAACGGTTCCCAGGGGAGACTTCGCGTGCCGACGGTGGGAAGAGCCAATCACAACGACGTAATGACACTGCTATTGTACTTCATCAAACAGCAGGAAATTCGATGTTGACAGGCCAAAAACAATCATAAGCTAGTGAAACGTGACTTTAGCGTTTTCATCCCTCAGAGATTTTTTTTCTTTTCTTTCTAGCGGGTAGATTATACTGTGGAAAGTTTTAAACTCTGACTATGTTAATCTTAATTTTGGTTGCTTGTCTCACATTAAGAGGCCATGAGGCTGATCTGTTACATGAGTAATGATTAGCTACTACCTGCAGTCTGTAGTTCTGACAGGATTCGTTTTCTTTAGCCAATTTTTTTGAGCGTTAAGGTTCGTATTTCGGCTAAGTGACTCAATATTAATCAAATTTCTAGTTTTTCAAGTTTTTTTTTCCGAAATGCGTTTATCTGAATAAATACTTGTAGCGATGATTCCCTGCTATGTTTTGTAACGCCCGGGACCCAGCCATTGTTTTCTCGCAAAAAAGTGATCTACAGATGCAAATTCGAAGGAAAGAATTGACCTAAACTTCTACATTAATTGCTGAGAATTGTCCTGTTAGTCAGTCATAATTCCAGTTTGGCGCAGATACAATCCATTTTGATTTTCTTGAGATAAAAGGGTCTTTGGACTGGAGCGCGATGTCACAAATTTCTCCGTCAGCAAATTACTTTTGAGTTAGCTTCACGGTCGAGCAACTGTTGTCTTCCGTTCAACTTTTCAAGTGCCAGTTTTATCAGGCAACTCTCACGGTGATACAAGTCAGTTGCAATTTCTCAAATTTCGGAACTGAAGCATTTCTCCTTAGTTGTTACTTAGGTCATCGCTTTTGCACGCGGTGCTTAACTGGCGAAATCCACTCCACGTTGATGACAAAAATCAAATGATCCTGGCACTTTTTCGGCGCAGATCATCGAAAAGTTCCAAATCGTCCACAGAACGCTTAATCGTCGACTCTTTTCAAGGTGCATGTTTAAATGTGGGATGTATGACGGCAAAAAAAAAAAACACTCGCAAAGATAACCTTTCCGTGATCCTCAGTTCGCTGCCTTTGTCCCATCGCTTCATGCTCAGTCAGCGGGTAATTCATGAACTTTTATTTCATGATACCCAGATCCCAGCGGCTGTAAAATTATAAAAATGGACGTATAGTAAAAAAGGAAAACGGTCGAAGGAGGGGCTTCTGAGTTCGACTTCATCCAACTTCATTTTTTTTACGGTTACATACGAGACTCACGGAAATATGACACTTTTCGCGGGAAACAAGCCGTTCTATTTATAAATCTACTCGGGAAAGGGTTGACTCAAGAAATTAATGGAGATAGAGGCTCCATTTGATGGGCTCCTATTTTCTGTTGGGGTCTCAGAAAGGTTCAAACAAGAAATAAAAAAGAATTTGTTTCTGTTGCACATAAACAACTGAGAATAAGTTACAAATTCAATTAGCGCTTACGGCTTTGTCTCTTGTTTTGTAGATTAAAATATTTCTTACCATGTAAAACTTTGACAGCCACCACCTGTGGTGCTTTTGGCTTCGTGGATGATGAAGGCCATTTGGAAGTCTCAGTGACCAACGCCTCCATCTCATCCCTCTTTCTAACGGTTGCTTTGTAAACAACACCAAACTCTCCTCTCCCTAGCTCTCCCTCGAATTCTATTTGCTCAGGCAGCATTTCCCACTTATCAGAGGGTTGTGAATCAGGAGATCTGGAGAAAAAGGACATAATATAAGCTGAATTAAGTCGAATGCTAAATTAAGGTTGTTATTAATTAAAAAGCGCTCGTGAGTAATCGTAATGATAGCGGTGGCTGTTATCAGTTTAAACACCATATTTTCAACCTGAAAAACATACCTGCGCTAAAACGTTTGGCTTGTACACGACTATTTGTGCAGACGTAGACGTATAGAGAAACCAATAAACAACGCATTGAACAGGAGCATCGGACTTGCCTTTCCGTATGCATTTCTGGCAATTTATGACAAGAAATTAACAGACAAATTTTCAGGCAAACGAAGTTGAAGGGTTGTCGGAAATAATTACCAATCTCCTTTGTAAACATGTTGATTTTAGTGGCGTGATTTAAAAGAGGTGTCAAGTGATAGATTACACGTGAGAACCTGATAGCCCTGAACTTTGGAATTGAAAGCGAAGCTGAAAACCTCGTGATTGACAATAAAATGTAGAACAACAGGTAGCATAGCCTGTGCCAGGCTCTCAGATAGTATGGGGCGGACGTATTAAAACGAGCAAAGCGAAAATAAGACGCGCGCGACTTGGGAAAGGGGGCGGTGGCGGCGAGAAAAATGGCCGCCCTGTCTCTCTCCAGCCCCCGCGCGTTTTTCGCATTTCTTTTTACTGAACGACTTTTTACCACTATCTCGGAGCCTGGAACAGGCTACAAGAAGTAGTGAAAGAGAATCATTTTGTGATGAGAGTGTGCTGTACTGTGAGGAAAGGAATAAACACCTCCTGTGAGTGTGTTGGATAACAACTATTTGGAGGCAATTCCCAACACAGGTGCGTGCGGGCACCTCCGATTTGACACACAGGGATTTGGTTCCAACAAGAGCAAGGCATTTGCGGAAATTTAAGTACACAGCGGAAGCGATCAGGAAATTTTATAGCCTCCCACACAGGCGTTTTTAGGGGAGCACGTTTCTCATACCTTCCCTAAAAACGCGTGCGTGGGAGGCTAGGAATTTTACTACTAAGTATATTTACAAGGCGACAAAAACGACGCCAAAACTACAAGGGCTAACGCGATGGAGGAACTAATGAAAGAATTTAACCGGAAGATTCGTCTATCAAGTTTTCGCTAGACAAAAATGATGAAGTGATAGCTTCTCAAAACATAGAAGTGATATCAAGACACGAAGCGCTATTGATGTCAAAATTGCAGGCCGCTCATACAGTGAAAGTATACATTATGGAGCTGCCATTTGCAACTGGAGAATCACATAAGCAGGTCACCACTTTGACGAAAGAGCACGAGACATTTCTAAAGGAAGCGGACGAAAGGGATTTAGCAATAAGACAACAAGTGGCAATCAAAGGGCGCCTAATTAACACACTGGGCGAGAGTCGAATCTCGGACCTCCGACCTGGAAGGTCAACGCGTTATCTATTGCGCCGCGACGACTGATACTGAAGTCGCACGATAAATTAATAATCTTTAACTCTTTTGCCCATGAACTTCTGCCCGTCGACGCTGTTTGAAGCCGGTAGAGCCTTATTTATAAAGAATTGACAGATATATTCGAGGAAAACAAGCATGGTTTTAATAGTAAAAGCCGTACTTTAACTCATTTCGTCGCATTTGAAGAACATATGGCCGACAAGTGTCTCGCAAAACCGTCGTGAAGTCTCTTGTAGCTTGCGATTCTCGGCGTTTGCATGAGGAGAATCAATTACGATTCAGCAACTGTAAACAATTCCGTTTTTATTGAACAAAGAAACATTTCATTCCAGAATGATATTTCACTAAAAAAAACATGAGATTGGGAGTCTTGTCGTGAGAAAAGTTAAAACATCGTGAGACTCACGGCAGAATAGTGAGCTTGGACTAGCTTGGGAGTCAAAAAGCAGTTGCTGATCTTTTCGTCATGTTTATCGCCTGGACGAGTCAAAAACCTTCAAAAGTTCATAAAATTCTGTCTCAAAGTTGGCCATAGTGCTAATTTGAAACGTTCAAAGTCCACATGAAGACAATCGTCCTGTGACTCCTGTGAAATGTACAAAATAAGCACATCGCGGAACGGGAACGATCTACGACAGAAAGAGGGACCATAAGAATCTTCGAAGATGCTAAGTTCACGCTGCACAAGTGGCACTCGAATGTTGCCGAGTTAGAAGAGAGTGAAAGAGGGGTTGAAGACGAGAGCACATTTGCCCAACAGCAGCTCGGCCAAACAAAAGCAAAGACCGGCAGTTTTCTTGGACTCTCGTGGGACAAACAAGGAGATCAGATAAGTGCTACTATGCCTCAATATGATGCAGTGGCGTCAAAAAGAACATTGTTGCGTAATATGGCAAGAATTTACGATCCTCTCGGTCTCGTGGCGCCAGTAACTATGAAGGGAAAGTTCATCTACAGAGATGTTTGCAACGTGAAGGTGGCCTGGGATGCATCGCTACCCCCACCACTAGTAAGCCAATGGACACGATGGAAGAAAGAGTTACCAGCCGAGGTCATGGTAACAAGGGCTCTGACATGTTCCCAAGAGCAGATTGAAAGAATTGAGCTCCATGTATTTGGAGATGCGAGTAAGAACGGAGTGTGTGCGACAGTGCATGCAGTTGTGAGACAGCCATCAGGGGTGAGCCAGGGTTTGGTTACTGCAAAGGCTCGACTAGCGAAGCAGATGCTGACCATTCCGCGATTAGAGCTGGTGTCGGCACATATGGCAACGAACCTTATCACAAACGTAGAGAAGGCGCTTGAAGGGTTTCCTGTTAACGGCGCTATGGATGGCTGGATAGCTCAGTGGCTCTCCATTGAATAAACGGTGGCGGCGAGTACAAACAGCTCGTAGCAAACAGAGCGATGAAAATACAAGAGCATTCAGGGATTACTTGGCGCCACATACCCACCAAGGAAATTCCGGCACACCTGGGAAGTCGAGGAGGGCAAGTAGATGATAGCAAGTTGTAGTGGCAAGGACCGGAATGGCTTTCAGACAAAGAAAGGTGGCCTACAGACATCGTGACAAGAGGCACTCCTGAGAGCCAAGCATAGGCTAAAATTACCAAAGAACTTTTTAATGGTGCCACTGCGTCAACTGGGTGCCTCAATGTTGAGGATTGTCGCCTGGACCGCCAGATTCATACGGAATTCACGCCTGAAGAAACAAGAGAGAATGATGGGTCTATTGACGACCGACGAAATGTTTTGGACCAAGCGCCCTCAAGGGATTCAAAGCGATGATGTGACAGACGATCGACAAAGACTGGGTTTATAAGAAAACGACCAGGGGATACTCATATGTCGGGGTCGTGTACAGGTACATTACCCGGTATACCTGCCTGACAAGCACCCCTACACAGTGAAACTCGTTGAAGCCGTACATAGCATGGGGGAGTAAGTTTAACAATGGCGTGGATCGGAGAGCGTCATTGGGTGTCATTTTAATGCACGGGTAATTTCATTGATGAGTGAAACTTCATCCGACTCAACCAGCCCTTGCCCTTTTGCGTACTGCTGAACACATTTTCTCCACAAGCCCATTTTTAAGTGAGAAAACGTCACAACGAAATTTGCCATACCGATTAGGGGTCAAACGCCGCTTCTCGAAACCAGCCTTTCCCTTCCAAAAATACAACCTCACTGACTGGGCATAGTTTGATATCGTGTTGATATGAGAGACAACTCTTGGTCCAAGATAGGCTCAACAGCGGTTGTCTGTCAAAATAAACAGCTGGTAGAAAGAGGCATCTCAGAAGAAAGCTGTCAACCAAGGACTTTAGCCATTAGCCTTCAACCTATCGTTTTCGGTAATTCACCCAGACTACCAAAAGTTGCGTTTCTTTGTGCTGAACGTTCGTGCTCATGCTCTTGGGCGCTGAGTCTAGGTTGCGTTCTCTCGACGTCGAACGCAATAACATCTTTTTATCAGTCAAGTCAATTTTCAATTTAATTTCCAAGATATTCTTCTTCAGTATTTCTTCTTTCTTACTGTCTTTTTTAGGTCTTCAGCCCCTTGGCTAAAACAAAATGCTTGATTATTTTCTTTGTAACTGTGAATGGCGGGTGCACGACGCTATAAGTGGCCACGGGATGTAATCTGACGAATAACATCGCGCTAAACTTAAATGCTGGGAAAGTAAAATTTTGCTTATAAGTTTTTTCGATGCACCTTCAACTGGAGAAAAAATTACGCCGAACAATGTGGCTAGCAAATTAAAAGATACACAAACCTTTCAATAGTCTTAAGCTTCTTTCTTCTGTAGCACCAGACAAGAATAGCCACGGACAGTATCAAAAAAGCGGAGGTGACACCAAGTGAGATGTAAATGACTTTAGAAATGGCGCGGGTCAGATTTTCGGGTCCAGATATCGTGGTGTTCTTAACTGCAAGGAAACGTATTGCATTATAAATGGCATAGGAAGCGTGCGAGTATGCGCTGAAGAAAACAGGTGCATTAACTTGTAAAAACGTCCACAAGTTTTTAAAATCTACTTCGCTGCCAAACATGGCTATTCCTCATTCATGGATCCTCGTTAAAATAAACTAAGTTTTCCCTGTTTCTGAGGAACATGGCACGGCGGACCTAAGGTAACAATCTTTAGCTAATTTGCGTCCATTATACTTGAGCTTACTGACCACTATTACACAGATGTCCTTCACAACAGTGCAAATGATGATCATCAAATTGTCTGCATTGATCAGCGGATATACAGCCTTGAATGGTGACTTGTTCGCCGTTTGCCGCTGTATTGTCGTATTTGAAACAAAGGTTTTCTGGAAATGTACAGTTGACTGTAATGGGAACAGAGGAATTCTTGCTGGGGTACTCATAACAAACAGTACCTAAATATAAATGCAGAATAAGAGAAGTCTTTAAAACTATCGAGTATCTCTGACAAGGTCACTACCCTAAAAGTCTGGAGCAAAAGCGTGAAAATATAACTTGTAGACAAACCTAAAAGAGGAGCTTTTATTAAATTGGAAGTCATTCATTAAAATTTGATAGACTTTAACCTGAAAATCCTAAACGAAAGCTTAATAGAAAAAAAAGTATCAATTTTTCGAAATTTTCATACAACGTCTTATGTGGTTGTTAAAGTATGAATAAACAATTAACTAAGTAGAATTAGGTTGTTCAGGGCTCTCGTATTGAGCTTGGGCTAAATTTTGCAATAGTGTGCAAGTGTAACCTTCTTGATGTGGATGATAGAAAACGTACTTGTTGTTGACGCTGGCATTTCACAAATATAGTTTTTTTGGTCGTTACAATCGTTCACCCTTTCTATCGCTCCAGTGTCTGTCTTCATTTGCCAACAATTTGAATCACCTTTTCGGCCAATCCATACGTGCTGTATAAAGGAATTACAAGGGATACAAAAAAAAACATTAAGTGGAACAATTTACTACAAAAGCCACAATTAAATTAAGATGGTAAAAACAGCTTGATAATGGGAGTGTCATTCAAGACTCGTTATGGTATGAGGCTCACATTTGGTATGGACAGAACACATTTACACTAAGGACGATAAATTTGACTTTTAGAAGTAAGATTTCGATCGTTACCATGGTGACAAGGATGTTTTGAAAAAGCTTTTTTTCAGTTTGTTAAACCTGGTTTTCACAAGCGCCTCAGCATAAGCATAAGGACACACACACGCGCAGAATGGCATTTTTGACTCAATTCTCGGTACCAGCTCTCCTCAACTCAATGATAAACAAGATGGTGGACGAAGCGACCGCCATATTGCTTTTGATATGTTCGCATGAGATCTGGGTCAAAGTGGCCTACGATTGGTCCACGGCCTTGTGCTTATGCTTGTGCTTATGTCGACCCAGTTTTCACTTGCTTACACATTTGCTTGTGCTCGTGCTTATGCTCTAGTGAAAACCAGGCTTAACCTCATGATAACTTCTCGGCCAAGACTGTCAATATGACAGTATGCAGTTACTTAATTATGATCACTTACAATCAAATTAAGCTAATAACTTTTGTCAAGAAGGGCATATATCGTTGTTCAATCAAGATAGAAGTTTAAATCAAGACGACTTAGCTGATGAGAGGCAGAACAACTGGTTTTCTATCAAATTCACCAGCATTGCTTGGAATGTACGTATGTATGAAAGATAAACTTGCATTTTATAATAATTTAGTTTGTGCGCTCAGTTTGCCAAAGTAACTGAGAAACGTGGTCTTTTGAACATTTACGTTTTTCAAGATATAGATATAGATGAAAATGGAATTAAAACTGTCTACATCATTGATTCAATTGGGTCTGTGACTCGAAGTACACAGAAGATGTGATTTCTCCGCATTCCTCCTTGAAATCTCTTCTTATAATTAATTACTCTGGCCTTAAGCGTGCTCTATCAACTGCGTAAAAAACCTAACATCTCAAGTTAATGCCCATTTCCTGTCCTTACACTTTTCTCACAGATGCGGTGGGAAGAGTAAATATTAAGAATTATTTGCATTCACCTCTGGTGGTCATGTCCTTATACAGCTAATTCTTGTGACTACTATGTTTTATAATACATTAATATTACATGGCGAAATTTCACGTTGATCATGCGATCATGAGGCTCAAAGAGTTAATGACTCGATACTTACATCTATGTTGTTTTTTTTCAGACCGGTGACCTCCATGAAGTGAATCAAAAATCGGTTTTGATTATCATCATCATCATCAACTTTCACTAAAGCACCTCCGGAAACAGTACACTCTTGTTGTGCACCTTGCCAGGTATCTTTATTATTTTCCTTGTAGCAAGATACTCCATTGAGAAACCAATCAGCAGAACAGGCCAATGGACCTTATTAGTGAATTATTTACATAGGAAACAGTTTGAACCCAATAAGAATCATAGCATTGCTGTAAACGTTAGAGAGACTGGGACGTGAATCAGACAACAATTAAGGAACAAAATATTCTAAAATTTCCCGGTAATCAATCAGTTGTCATATTTCATTTCTTCTTTTAATAGAATACAAGAAAAATTAGGATCTTTAATATGTGTTTGGGTGTGGTAATTCTAAAACGTAAAATTTGTATAATTATGGGCTTGGCTGGGCATGTGACAAAAACTGCATTGTAACTACCAAAAAAGCTCCTTTAACCCAGGCACAGTTGTAATTGAGGTGAAACAAAACGAGAAAACAAATAGAAAAAGCCAAATATCAGAGTGGAATCTAGCTCGCCTAAAATTTAAAGGCGTAAAGGCTATCTAAAGTCCTTTTAAGAGTTTTAGCGCCTTGATGGATCAAATTTTACCTTTACAGTCAAATCCCTTTATAGCGGACACTGTAGGGACCTTAAGTTAGTGTCCTCTGTAGCGAGAGTCCGTAATAGCGGGAGTTTATTTCAGTCAAATGTCTGTGATTTATTTATCTGCTGTCCGTATTATCAGGGTGTCCGTTATAACGGGGTGTCCGCAAGGCGAGAGTTGACTGTACTATGGTCGTACCTGGTGCGATTGGAGCTTCCCCATCATTTTCAATGTCGAGTTCCCCACAGGAACAACTCACCTTTCGGTCTCTCGCAGATGAAATGTTTATTTTCCTTGCAACATTCGGTGAGGTTCGAGCTATTTTTCAAGATTTCGACGCATTTATTTTCATAAACAATTCTCGACATGTTGAGCCGTTGGACAGAAACAGAAATGTTAAACGATTCTCCATTGTTCCATACATATCCACCCTTAAGATGCCGATACGCCAACCCAATCCAAACAGAAGTGCGGTTTGCGTCCTTGAAGGCCATGTCATGGACAAAATTCATTTCCTTTTCATTCGATATGCTTACCAGGTCTCCTCCAAACCCAAAACACCCACTTAAAGCTGTTGACCAAGCAAATCTCGGCGTATAACCGAGCCTATCCATAACCTTGTAGCAAAAGCCTTCAAATTCTCTCCACGTTTCTGGGCAATCCAAAGCTAGAAAGGATGAAATTGGGCACTTTGACTCTTGTGACTTAACAATAATGAACAATGCAGGCCAATTATTGAATGGGGTCGGTCAAGGCCGTTGTAAGTGTTGTAAGCCGTGGCCGAAGGCGGAGGATGATAACACGAACTGTGCCGTAAGCAGCCGTGGGTGTCTAAATGCGCCCTCCCTACTAGAGACATTCCCGGCCGCTCCTAAAAAAGTTTTTAAAAAAACTTACATCGACCATAGCGCTTGATGACCAAATAGGGCAAGAAGTCTCTCAGTTAATTGTGAAATAAAAATTGAAATTGTTAGAGACCAAATGGACATACTTACCAGAATAACGCCTTGCTACCGCAAAGAGGAGTGACACGAACAGTGCGAGTATTATCATTATGGCATCAGATCTGGGAAGAAGTTAAAGTTTACAGATCAGTCATTATTTATCGCCCGGGATGGAGGGGGGTCCGGAGGTTTTTTTTTTGGGGGGGGGGTCACTTGACTTTTAGGAGAACAGAACTGGGGATCCTTCGTACATCATAGAAAAAAAAAATTGATTTTTTTTTGGTTTTTTGGTGCCGAAAACTTTGGGGAGAATCACGAAATTTATCAGGAGTTATGAGGAGGACCACTTCAGTAAAACATCATTTAAAGGGAGGGTTCAACCATATTTTACCATGTTAAACCCCAAAGTGCATCCTAGTAGCCCCCCTCCCCCCTCTAGGCGATAAATAATGACTGGTCCCTCACAGAAACATTTCCTCGATCAATGATTAATAAATCGTTACCCCAAGAGCTCATCAGGCCGCACTTTCTTTGGGTTTACCAACGAAATAACTTAAGAGGCATACTGGGAGAACACCATTTACAAGCTTTTTTGATCTCTTGTTCTTCCAACATTCCAAATATAAATGGGTTCTTTCGCAGGTTAATCAATAGAAAGTGAAGTCTATTCCTTGTATATACATAGTTTTTGCAGGCAAAAATGTGGTTTATTATGTCATAATGATCAAGTTGCGTCTTCTTTGTACATTTCTCAGTTTAGGCGCGGATAATAGTCCCAAAACAACGATTTTAATGTAAAGATGGTGGCATCGCGCCGAACAAATTATTTTGTTTCCATTTCCAAGAAACAGCATTATTGTGAGAGGGCATGTTTTTGTATGTGCACTGTTTGAATACAGAAGTAGAAGATTAAACATCAAACTGTTCGCGGCTGTTGTTTATTTTTGCTTAGTCGACTGTTATTCGTGTATGAAGTGCAAAAACGTTAGAGACTGAAAGGATCATGAAGACAAAAATTCTAAGCGTATCAGCTTGAACTTCCTCTCTTCGAAACTGGAACAGATGGCAGAGGTCTTTAACTGTCACGGAAGTGCGCAAGGTCGTATTCAGTTCTCATGCAAATGTTGCTAACATGCTCGGGACAAGAAGACAAAGGTAAAAAAATGGAAAGAAAGACTAAAACAAAAATGGTCACTGACAGCTCTGATGTTCAGTCACTCGGACGTTCAAAAACTTGGATGGATCAAATGCCAGGGTTCGAATACCCCATCTTCCCCCCCAGCCCCCCCTCCCCACCCCGCCGACGCATATAACTGGTGCTGTCAATCGAGCTCTCTAACCGAATCTGCAACTTTCTTTTTCTTTTGTTTTCTGTCGATGGAATTTATCGCCGAGTTACCCTATAAAAGTCCATGACTTAGTGGCCAGGGTGCTTTCACACATTTTCCTGTCTTACTATAATATTGAAAACCGTTTAAGATCCGACGACGGCGACGGTAACGAGATCGTCAAAAACTTATAATAGGGTTAATATTAAGAACAACTTTGCTCGTACACCCCCTTTTTTGTACATTTTCTTTGCCGTCACTGCATATCTACGACATGAAAATGCCTAATTTCATGTTGTACTCAGGAAGTAAACAAGGACGACGAAATTTTCTTATTCTTTCTGAACTTGCATATGGATCTTTGAAATTCAACCCTAGGAGAGCTCCCTACATTTGACAAACTAAGTAAGCTCAATTAATCGCGATAAAGATTGAAAGAACGTAATTTCACTTTTTAAGCCGGACGTATTCGCCATCGTCGGATCCCTTTTTACATCTTGTATTTACAACGTATGACATAATATTAAGTACCAATAAACACTTCTTAAAAATCTTAAGCTTGTTTCGTACAAAAAAAAAAAGAATACTTGACTACTGAAAATACTAGATAGAAAACACTACGTTGCCCAGTTGTCAGGTTTAACCCTGATATATATTTCAGACAAAGAGCATGTCGTGCTTCTGTCGTTTCTGTGGACGTACAATTTCTCTTGTCAGATCAAGCAATCGCAAGGAGACATGACACTGGAAATATACCCTTACCTGGAGTACTGACGCTTTCGTCCTTCCCAATTTTACAGCAGACAAATAAAACAATTGTCTCTCTTCTTTCATTCACAGTAGATTTAATGCCGATGAATATGATCTTAAACTGGTAGGTACAGTAAAATTTTGTTTTCAAAAAAGGAAGTTAAAAAATGTGCAGGTGCTGTTAATTACACGGCTGTCAGCTATAGATCCTGGACAGTTAAATGAGGTGCAATTTGTCTACATGCACGTTATCGACAAATAGCCCATAACGTTTCAACAATCAACTTCCTCTCTTTACTCATAAATTACCATTCATTCCTTTTAAATATTCAACATCCATTGAACAACAGGTAACAAATTACATATTACATATAACTAGCAACTGGTAGGTTATTAGTGTTTAGACAGATGAACAGCCGTGGAGTAAACGGAAGTAATATGTACGTCACAAACTTTTCCCGCGTAGCCTGTTGCAGGCGCTCCGATAGTGGAGTGACTGTGGGGCGCAAATTGACAGGGGCACCCAACAACGGTTTCCTCCAAAATACGTAGAGAAACACTTTTAAGGTTATCCAAAGTCTTTTTAGATCTCTAGAAATGCATTTCTAAGCGGCGCTACAAAATGTTTATCTGTTCGGTCATCCTAGGGAACTTATATCTTTTTGAAATTACGAGGGCTTCAGTATTATTTGTCGGAAAATTTTAGGAGCAATTTAACGTTTTACGAAAGTGAGAATTTTTCTGGTTCCTCTCTCCATCACATTTTACAATTTGAAAATTTTAATAGGTTTCCTTTTTCTACGAAAAATGGTGTAACTTGGGTAGTAAAATATGAAAAATTAAACTTTAGAAAATCGTAGGGAATTTAATGGATATGCTTCGAAAATTGTAGATGAATGAAACCTTAATCTAGAAATTTTTAGCCGTCCTCAAGCAAAAGAAAAGACCGAAGTCAGGGCAGTATAAGCTTTAACAGCTCTCGAGCTCTATTATTACGCGGGTTCAACTAAACCTCCCCGCAATGCGGGGAATTCCTTATTAACTTTGTTTTGATGACGATGAGTATTTGTTTTCAACATTCGCTAAGCTCTCTTGAGAATAGATAGAATAGATAGATATATACAGGGCATCAATTTAAACTTCAAATTTTGTTCTTTACGTTTCACTATATATTATTAGTACGTCTAGTTTCCTGACTGCGGCTTGGGATAAATATATTATTTTTGCTTTTTATTCTCTTTTTTATTCCTTATAATCTTAATTAATGCGAAATAATATTGATGTTGTTGTTGTTAAGTGACAAACACGTATTAAACAACAACGCTCTTAGTAGCGTGAGTCTCGCTTGCTTGGAGCCCATGAGGCTTGAAGATAAGCTTGTTGTCAAAGGCGGTGGTGCTGTTATGCTACTTTTTCGTTTTGAATACAAAACGAGTGCTCACACGGTGGGTGGCTCCTCCTAAAATGTTCTGCAATTGGTATAGGATTTAATGGAGCCGAAACCAATTGTGGAATTGCACGCATTTTAGGCATCCTACTGATGAACAGTTGGGACACGTAGATATATTTTTTAGCAACTACTATAATTTGCAGTCTGTCTACTTTGAATTTATATGTCATAATGTAAATACTCAAAACGTAACAATTGCAAGGAGAGACAGGCCGCACATCCGGCTTATTTTCACACCGGTGTGAAACCTTTGAAAACCTTTTACATATTGATATTGCTCGAGTGAGGAGAACTCTTACAGGGAATTTACATTCAAATCATTTCACGATGATTTTTATCACTATAAATATATATATATAGCTTCTATCTAGCGGACCAAGATACGGCTCGGTATAGTTTTTGGTTCAGTTCAGGAAAAATGTGTAAGTTTAGCAGAACGTTAAATATACATGAGACAGTTAAATAATAAATTCAGTTTGCGCGTATTCCTGTTGAATTTGTTGTCCGTTTTATAAGATGTCAAAATCGCGTGAACGGACTAAGGTCAAGCAAGCTAATTTTAAAATAACACTTTAATGTGAGCTTTTTCCAGTTCGAGGAAACATTTGTCGACAACTATATAGCTAGTACGTAAAATTAAGGAAAGGAAAATAATCCATCATTAAAAAAAAACGTGTGCAAAGAGCATCGTCGAAAATTGCCTGATCTTAAGCTTAAACGTTTGGCAAGTTTTTTTAGATATCAATCAGGTTGGCTTTATATAAACAGCAGCTGCAAGACGTTAAACCTCCGCTTTGTGAACAAATTCAGTATATTTTCCTCCAGATTCAATAGCCAGCGGGAGAAAGTATTCAAAGTTAAGGATCAAAACGCGGAAAGCCGTTCCTCAGGTATTTAGTTGTTTAAAGTATGTGTTTGGCGTAACCATTTTTGCTTTTAGCCATGAGTTTTTTTAAGATTGTAAATTCAGCGGCATCCAACGATCGAATGTTCCTCAATGCGGTTGTTAGTGCCTTACAATATTTTCTCTGTGCTTTTGAAGCCTGTTTGGTTAATTCGGAGCTGCCCTAAAAAAAACTATTTATCTCTTCCGATGTCTTAGGGCATCTTTGGTCGTCTTAAAGAGGTTTTAGGGGGGCTTTTTCGTCTCATCCGAAACTGTTAGCTAACCTGAATGGGTCCGATCGAAAGTTCGAAGAAAATGCGGTGGCCGTACGGTACTTTCATTTGAAAATTGAACGGGACGTTTTGTCTTTATACCGAGAGTTTTAGACCTGGAGACCTTTTTTAAGCAATAACCACAATGTTTTGGTAATAAAATGCGAAAACAACAACCTCCGAAAATAGTAGGTAAGTCACTAGGAAAATTCAAAATATCTTAATATAATTTTTAGGAATAAAATGGTAACAAGGGTATTACATAATACCAATTGAAAACAAGAACACGAAATCGAAATTCTCTTCAGTGTCCCACTCTGTTTTATAACTCACTGATGTTACAAGGAAAAATTCATGCTGCTCAGTCTTTGGGCTCAAAAGGGTTAATGACTCGGTACTTACATCTATTTTCGTTTTCTTCAGACCGATAACCTCCATAAAGTGAATCATAAATCGTTTTTGATTATCATCATCAACCTTCACTAAATCACCCCTGGAAGCAGTGCACTCTTTTTGTGCACCTTTCCAGGTATCTTTATCATTACCCTGCGAGCAGAGGCTCTTCGATCTTCCTAGATAAGCCTTATCTAGGAAGATCGAAGGGCCTCTGTTCTCAGGGTACTTTATCATTTGCTTTGTAGCAAGATACTCCATTGAGGAACCAATCAGCACGACAGGCCAACGTACCTAATTCGGGCAATACTTACAGAATGAACGCTTTGAACCCAATAACAATCCCTACTACTGTATTATTATTAGGACGAAGATAAAACAAAATTGTAATAAATTAAATATAAAAAAAGAAGATTTCGGAAATTAAAAAGGTTTTTCGGTGTTGTAATTCTAATATGTAAACTTTTGAACAAATACAGGCGTGCGTGGCTGGTCATGTGAAGTGTTAGCACCAAAAATATTTTCTTTCATCCGGGTACAGACGGTTTAAAGGGAGTGCAAAACGAAACGAAAGCTAAAAAAGAGTAAAATCCCGATATGATTGAGGAGCCATTCGTTAATTTACATGAGACAGCGCTAACGCTGGCCATTTAAGACTTTTAGTGCCTTGAAGTGATGAGGGTTGTCCAAAACACCCGCACAGTAACGGTCCGTATAAGCCATGTGTTGATCCGTACGGACCGTAGGGATCAAAAAAGGGGTATACGGTCTGTATCTTATACCTATGTTCTGGTTGCACCTGGTACGATCCGTGATTTCCCATAATTATCAATGTCAAGTTGAGTTCCCCACAGGAGCAACTCACCTTTCGATCCCTCACAGTTCATTTTCCTTGCAACATGTGGAGAGTTAATTTCCAGCCATTTTTCAAGATTTCGACGCATTTATATTCATAAACACCTTTTACATGTTGCCGAGCCACTTGATGGAAACTGAACTGTTAAAAGATTCTCCATTATTCCATACATGTCCGCCTGTTTGATGCCGATACGCCAACCCAATCCATATAGAAGTACGGTTTGTGTCTTTGAAAGACAAGTTATGAACAAACTCCATTTCTTTTTTATTGGATATGCTTACCAGGTCTCCTCCAAGCCGAAAACACCCCCTTAAAGCTGTTGACCAGGCAAATCTCCTCGGGTAACCTAACCTATCCACAACCTTGTAGCAAAAACCCTCAAATTTACTCCACTTATCAGAACATTGCAAAGCTAAAAAGGATAAAATTGAGGCATCTGTGACTCTTGTAACTTAAACAATAATGAGCAATTATTGAATGAGGCGGAGTATGATCTGAAGAATTATCATAGTACAATCTCGACAGGTTCGGGGGTAGTGTACAAAGGAATGTTTCAGTAGTCTGGCAAGAGCATAGGCGTACGGGAAATTTTTTGCCGGGGGGGCGGTAGACCATTTGCCCAAAAAAATCTCGCAAGTTGCCCAAATTTTTATGAAAGAGTCGAAAAGAAATGAGGGCCATATTGCAACAACGTAGGCCATCCTGGCATATGAAGGTGGCTCGATACGGTTTTTCAGGGTCAATACCAAGTCTGAGCATAAACTACTTCGCCATAAACAAACATTTGGAAAAATTGCGACCACAGTTGTATTAAGATGAAAATTTGTCATCATCAGGGTTGCAATGACATCGGATCGGAGTTGTCATAGCAACGAAATGACTCCCCCCGCCCATTACCTATTTTACTTCAGCAATGATTTCCGGCACGGGAACCTTACAAAATCGTTCACAGGAGCTTTTTTTCTCCAATACGGTCGCCTCGATGTTCGTGAATTTTAAGCAAAACCTTAAGAGCGTTATCGAGATATTTTGGAATGAAGTTTTTATTATTAGAAATACGGTAAGAACAGTAAAATCTTGATTTTTGGCCGTTATCTGTAGAAAACGAAGCTCTTTTGACCTGCAATTTGACCTCATAGTAGTTTTAATCTTTTTAAAAACATGTGTGAAAGAACTTGGAGATAGCTCTGCTTGATTGCTAGAATCGAAAGAAGGATTGGATTAGTATGTATCGAGACACTCTTGTTAGCGGTTTTGTAAACATTTCGGTCTACTTTAACAAATTAGCGAATAATTTTAAGCCGCTCGATAGATTTTTTAAAAGAATTAAAATTCTTCTCGTAATTCAAACTGAGAATTAGTCAGCCACTTCTTCATTTTCATACCCATTGCTAAATACTATCTGCCATACTCTGTTCTTCGAGTAGAGATGATTCGAGAAAATTATGCGAAAGTTTATTTTAATCAATTCATGACTGGAAATAGCCCATTCCAGCTAGTGCAGAGCAGTATAGTGCCCAACAAAAAAAACTGCAAATATGTAAATTACTTATCACATGCTAGGCAACCACTGTAATGTAACTGGATTATTACGCCGACTTCATGTTAATATTCAGGTCTTTTAAATTATTAAATAAACATGGCGACGTCTTTAAAAACTGGCTTTGCCCAAATTTTCTCTCGCTGCCCAAAAAATCTGAGTTGCCCAAAATTTGGGGGGGCTGCAGCCCCCCTCGCCCCCCCGGCCCGTACGCCTATGGGCAAGAGGAATGACGTGAACAGTCCGGTTGTGATCATTATGGCATCAGATATATGCTCTAAAAAGGCGTTTAAGTGTAGCGTAATATTTTCTCGATCAATGATAAGTCGGAGAAAAAACTAGGAAAGCCTTGTGGTTATCGGAATACTACAAGGAAGTCGTACTATTTAGCTTTTCATATCAAGCAATTGTAGGGAGATATACGTTTCTGGGAAACTGCCCACCTACCTCTCCCCTTAGCCAACATTTTGCCCTAAGCGAGATGTATTAAGTGTTGATGTTGGCTTAGGGAAGGGGTAGGTGGGCAGTTAGTAGTTAGCAAAACGAGAACTTTGCACGTGCATTATGCTATTTAGCCGTCGTTGCATGACAGCAACATGAAACTTCCTAATTTCACGCGCCTGCTTCATAGAGTCGGTGAACACAACACAAACATTTTCGTTTTCTTTTTTATAAACACAGATGCAGTCCTGTCGAATACAACCCCAGAAAATTTCGCCAACAGTAGACAAATTATATAAAGTTGAATAAGATCGATGAAGTTTGAAACGGTGCGAATTCTCTTTTTAAGTGAATCTCTGGTTTGTTGTCATCCAAAAATTCTGCTACCATAGCGACGTGACGTTGCGACTTCCGAAAAGCCTGACCAAATGGATTTAAAATAATGATAACGTCATTTGCGCGCGAAAACATCATATGATATCCATATTTTTTGCCTGTTTGTTTAGTTTTTACACCAAAAAAATGTCGTACTCAGTTTTGTACTTACACAAAACGGACGGTTTTCTTAATCTGCAAATCTGACGTTATTGGGCGTAAAGAACAGAAGAGATGAGCGGCGGTTATTCACGAGAGCACGTATACATTTTCAATTTAACAGAAATTCTGAGGTGGGGCAGTTTAGAAGGAGGGAACCTTAACAGCTTGAATTCAGATCTTTTGGAAAGTATTTTATGTCGGTCGTCGATAATGCGAAGAGATACAATATACCTGTCATTCTCGTTCATACTTTAATGGCCCTTCCTATGTTAAAAGCTATAATAAACAACAGCTATGGAATCCCGCTAACGATTAGAATACAAAATCCGAGTTCAACTGACAAACGACCGGAATCCAGTACCTGGAATCTGGAATACACAGCGTGGATTCGAGAATTCAAGACTGTCTTGGATTCCCTTACATAGGGACAATATTCTCAACCCATTTAAGATAGAAATTGTCCACATCTCTCTGAAAAAGCCAGCATTCCTTGAAAACAGGAAAATCATCAACTAGCCTTATCCGTTGGTGATGTTTGAGTTTCTTTGACAGCGGTAGATGATCATAATTTTGATAGTGTAACCTGTTTTTATGGTTTTCAGCATATAGCGAGTAGCTAGGATTGTCTGCTGCATTTGAAGGAAGCATTGTTATTTTCGAACGCTTATTTTTCACGTAGATTTAAGGAATAACACGATTAGAAATCATCATCGCCGCCCACCTATATCGATCTGTCGGGAACTCTCCTCAAAAGTCAGCAAAAAATTATAGAAATAACGGTTTAAATGCTTCCTGATGAAATTTGTTTCGTCTTCATAACTCTACAGGAGTACTGTATGTATGCATATATAAAGGCTCTAAGTAATGACTTCATCACAGAATTCACTGATCTAAAAACAGCAATAGGGAGCTTATAGCAACGACGACGACGACGGCAGTGAAAACGTCGCTCAAAATGGATTTCCTTCCTTAATCGGGTCTATTTGGGCCCGCTCAATATGTGAAATGCAGGCGAAATTTCCTGGACATGAATTTTTAAGGCCGTTTTATCCAGGTCAGTTCAAAAAGAGACAGGAGAATTCGTCGTCGTTTAAAGTCCATGTCCTCCATAAAACGCCGTAGTAGTCGTGCAGTGGACGTCAAAGAAATGGTGTTGTTTTGATCATAATGTTTTTTTGCAGCTGTCGTTGTGGTCGTCGTTGGTTCCTAATCAGACCCCACTCGTGACAAACCCTCTTTAATCACTTTGTTTTGATAACTTTCTTTGTTTTTGACATTCGCTATTTGCTTTCGTAACAATCAGAAAAAGACTTAAAACATGACAAAAAATTAAATATATTTGAAAAGATGGAAGCTTTATTGTTACAATGGTTAATGACAAGCAAGCCTATTACGAACACCTTAATGAGAGCTTTCGTCAGTTCGAGGAGCCCTTTTTCGACAAATTAGTACAAAAAAACCTGTCCTTGTTTACCCTTTTAAACTATGTACTAGATTATAACAGTCGAGAAAATGAAAAAGAACTTTCACAGGATGGGAAAATATTGTTGAAACAAAAGGCGCGTACAAAACACATCGACGAAATTTGCCTAATTCCCCTGCTTTTAACAAATGTTTGGCAACTTTTTTTGACAATCAATTACTGTCTTTAAAAGAAGCAGCTGCAAGACTTTTAACATCCGCTTTATCAACAAATTCCTTTTTCTTACAAATTCAATAGCCAACAGGAAAAAGTATACCAAGATCATAACTCCGGAAAACAGTTTTTGAGGTGGATTTTTCATTCATTTAACGTATATATCTGTCTGGCGTGGCGTAACCGCTTTTGGCTTCAGTCGATAAGCTGTTATAACTAAGTTTGAACAGTATGCAGAGGCACCCAACGAGTGAATGTTTCTAAATGCGGTAGAAGTAGCTCAAAATGTTTTTCTTTATTCTTTAGAAACCTGTTTGGCAGCAAGTTTTAGGTGGCCTTATCGCGATCTTGTTATCTGAAACTGTTAGCTAATCCCTGAAGGGTCTGGTCCAAAGTTTAAGGTCACCGTACCTTCATTAGAAGACATTCTAGAGGACGTTTTGCAATTTATACGCCGAAATTTTCAGGTGAGGAGAAAGGAAAGCTTCTAATATTCTAGACGAAAGGAACGGTTATACAGAAATTTTTAGCCTTTCTCGGACCTTAGAAATTTCAAGGCAATAGTATTAATTGATCCTTCAGACATTTCTTAAAGAAAAAAGTCGTTGGGAGCCCTTCTGTACTGAAACACCAGTCGAACGAATTGACCCAGAGTCGTGTGCTTGGTGTCGTTTGGCTTTAGAAAGCCTAATATGAGAAAATCCCGCTCCCTCAACATAAACACACAAACTTATTTGAAGGAAATATCTCAGTAATTAGCCTGTTGACTAAGTATTTGAGGCCAGTGATCCTCAATAAAGAGACTAAATAACTTTTTTGTAACAGTTAAGTTTGCTTATGGAAAAAAAACCGCGGCAGCGGTATAGCTAGATGTCAGCACGTCTGCACACTTAGTTTCTACACTTTCCTTCACATTTCAGCCCATTTATTCCTACAATGTATATTGGTCCTCTCTTAGGTACAGTAAGTATGTACGATGCGAGCATATAAACTTATGTTTCTTTTAATTTGTTCTTTCGCCATCATAAGTATCGTCTTGTATTATTTTCAGATATCTTTGTCAACAAGTCCAATTTCAAAAAATTTCGTACGCACTGCCTATTTCCAGGGACTGGATCCGTCGACCATGGATGTTCTAAAAACAGCTATCACTGTTTTCGTGATCTTGTTCCCAGTGCTGATGAAAGCACAGCAGAACCTGCAAGGTAAGGCAAGCATATTTATTACTCGGAGACTCAAAAAACCGTGAACACCAGAAATATCTATGGAATGTTATTGTGTTGCGAGAAAATAGCCAATAGGGCATGAGAAAACTAAACAGCAAACAGCAACGGTAGCTGGTTTCTTGTTTTGAGGCTTTGCTGGCGTGTCCTTAACATTATTGTGATTGTTCACCACACAATCAAAATTCCTGAAATTTTTCATGTGTTCACGGTTTTCTGAGTTTCACAGTAAGTAGAATAAGTCAATTTCAAATCATAATTGTTCGCATTCAAATATAAACGACGTGGCGCATCAAGCGATTGTTTGAAGTCATTCCCTAAAGAAAAGTGTTTTCTGATGTCATGGAAATATCTCGTACGTCCCTGGCTGTTTAATCACATTCATTTGCGTAGCCAAAATGGAGGTTTTCCATGTTTGATTTCAGCCCCCGGCAAAGCCTTGAATAAGATCTTTGCTTATTATCATCAAAAAAGGTCGATAAACAGAAAGTTGTTGATTGCTCAGGTACCGTAAGGAGTCTACGTAGTATCTTATTTTGTTCCTTTTCGAATAAATTTACGTGTTATTGCGGTTTCCTCAACTAAACTGATACTGTAAAATGTAAGCATGCTATTTAAGGAATATTATGTCCCCGTCCATCCGTATCCAGAAATATATTTTTTAAAACAGATGGTTTTTTTTTCTCCGAGTTTCATTAGGGCCATTTATACGAGGAAAAATAAGACGCGTCTTATATTAGACGCGTCTTAAATAAGACGCGAACTGTACCATTTATACGAGCATGTCTTATCTAATAAGACGCGTTTTAGCTAAGCCGCGTCTTATTTTAAACGAAATGTGTCCTTTATACGGAAAGTTCGCGTCTTATTTAAGACGCGTCTTATTTTTCCTCGTATAAATGGCCCTATTGTCTTCCCAGTGTCTTCCGTCCACACGGCGTTTTCGGGAACCAAAACCTAACAGTTTCAAAATCGGGAGATTTATGAAAACGCTTGCTTCTCACTTGTGTGTGGACGGGCGAAAACGGAGGTTTTTGAATAAGGTGATGGCATTGGGTATGCTCTCGAAGGGATGCTAGCCTTTTCATTTGTGGTCTATTTACAGAGATCCAGACCACTCCCCTACAGTATATAAAGGTTTGGAAAAACTGGCGGCTTCTTCTAGATGAAATTACGATACATACCCGAGGTAGATTTGGGTGGGGCGGGAAGAGAAATAAAATATCATACGAAAGAGGATCGAGCCATGGAGTGGAGAGCGGGAAAGGCAAGGTGCAAAGCCATAATAATAACCTCTGTGTCTTTTCTAGAGAATAATATGTGCCTTATATAGTCCACCGGGCAATACCGCTGAAACTAGCCAGACAGACGAAAACAATTCAAATACGCTATGTGTGGGCGCGTAGTTTGTTCTTGAAAACGGAGAAAATCTCCTGTACATGTTTAAAAAAATATATATTTGGATACATGTGGACAAGGCTTAATTTAGCTTTAGTGGTAGTGGTTGTGTTTAAATAAGCCAAAGAGATTTCGTTTCAAATTGACTTTCATTCCTAGTTCTCATTAAAGTGAGGAGAGTGTTTCTGTCTGATTTCGGGCGCAGCCCGGCTCCAGACCAGTGCAGTGTCCAAAACAGTAGGGGGCTTTCCGTCTTGGTCGGTACAGCTGGATAGCCCAGAGACTGCCCTAGCAGTGGGTGGGTGGATCAGGCCTGGGGGAAAAAACTAGTGGGGTAACGAGGGGGCTATTATAACACAACCCCTGGCAAGTACCTTGTTCTTACTTTGGCCTAGCCAGCTGAATCAGACCTCTGCTGAGAATGATTATCATGATAATTGCAGAGATTAGTGGGAGGCGCAGACAGTCACCCATTGTCCTGGGTGGGGAGGGTGAAAGTCCTACTAAGGAAACACTTAGCATTGGACCAGTAGACACTCACTGAAGCCATGTTTACATATTTTAAATTCAGTCTGATTTATATCACGTCCTTCTTTGTTACTTTATTTTGCAGAGTACTCCAACTATATAAACAAAAAAAAGAACAAGATAAATAAGAAACAGGAAGGAGCCAGGAAATTACTCGTTGAATTCGCAAGAGAAATTGAAGCCAGTTGCAAAGGTAAGAAGAGGAGAATCCTGAGAAAACCAGAACAGCGCGCGCGAGCGTATCGACTTCTTGATGTACTGGACTGTTGTTGTAACGGACATTGGCTGCTACCTGAGGTCTCCAAGGTTGGGAAAAGGACTAAAATAAGTCAAAAAGCTAAAGACGTTTGAGCTAAGTCGACCTCCTTAAAAAGAGAAAAATACTTTCTGAGCACAATGGGCTCGGTGTTATGGGGAGCATGAACTGGAAAACTACAAAAAAAGCTTTGATATGATTTGATTATCATAATTTAAAATTCTGTAGTGTTATATAGACCCCGGTTTGTTTCATTCGCGGATGAGCCAGTTTTAGATGCGGCTACTAATACTAGCCAGTTCAGAAGAACAAAATTCCAAAGAAGCAATTTGCATGATTAGCCTTATTATCCTCTACCCTAACCGTGCTCCGCGGTACCTGGTAATTGTACTTGACAGGCCCCGTTTATATGAAGCCGACCGTTGTCCGGGAAGGAATACATTGACTCGCATTAGCATAAAAAGGCCAATTTATAACATTAACATTCAATTTCTTCTTCGCAACATAGAATTAACATGCAACTTTGATGTATCAATGTGCGGTTTCAAGCAAGCCAAAGATGACAAGTTTGACTGGACCCGATACAGGCGAAACACAAGTTCTTCCGGCAAAGGACCTTTCTCTGATCACACCACTGGAAACATGACAGGTGAACTCTAAACTAATAACAACAAGTCAGACCTGCTATTAGCAAAAACAGTTAAAATGTATTAACTCACTAACTGTAATTTGCATAAAGCCTTGGCCCCAAACGTCGCTTTTATTTTTCTTGAGACGAGCCAAGCTTAGTGAGTTAATTTCATGAAAAGTTCGAATTCTGACTCAGTTACGTTCGTCTGAATGAGTTTGGATCGTCCAACACGTTCTGTGCGACTGCTTCAGAGGGATAGAACGTCTGAAGATCGTCTCCGGGACAAACTAGCGTCGATCTTCATATACGAAATTTCAATCAACTTTATTCTTAACTTTAGAGAAAACAAAGCAATCCTACATATTTTGCAAGTACACGTTTTAAAACAAAAATAGACAGCTAAACTGCAGAAGTGAAGTGAAAAGACACCCAAAAAAACAAAACAGACAAAACAAAAACAAAAAATAACAACAACAAAAACAAAAACTAGAGCAAAACAAAAAGGAAAATTTACATATTGTGCGCCCCCCCAAAATTATTTCTACAGAAGGAAGTACTACTGAATGGACTGAGGTTTAGATATTAGTGGTATTAAGTAGCATTTTCATTTGGAATGAGCGAACGCAGTCACATCAAGCTAAGAGTCTTTTTTAAGGTGTTTCGATATAACAGTTTTTCGGAGACCATACCGATGTTTTTCAATCCCTTAAAATAATATACCAAAATTTCTTAGCATCGTAAAATGATGTTACGCAGCCTTCTGACGCTACTTAAGATTTATTTGAGTTGTTTAAAACTTTTTTATTAAAAAATGTATCACTGCTATTGAAAATGTAAGGTTTGAAATATATTTACGTTTTATTTGAATTCAAAAATTTTTTTACTTGTCATGGAGGTTATTTGCTAATCACCTGACGCTTTAAGTTTCTGGCATCGGATTTTCAGTATCAGGTCTATATCGCACAAAATTCGGATTTTATCGATTTCGAAATTTTTGGTTTATTGTTGTCATAGTGATATCGATTTTACTAAAAGCTGCATTTTGACAAACTTCAATTCATAGTCAATCACTGGTAAAAATTTTGTAGCGATCAGACAAACAAGGTAGAAACAACTTTCAAGGCGTTTGAAAAATATCGATATGACCTCTGAAAAACTGTATCGAAACACCTTAAGCTGATAACTTGTATATAAATTCAGATGCCATAGCTATCTTTTGCATTGTTTCGCATGCGTAGTAAGACGCAAGTCCTTTATCTGTTTATTGAATAAATTAAATTTGGAGAGGATTTAAATTTCTGCTTCTGGCAAAAGTTTCCTGTTATGTCGAGTGCGGTCATGATTGCATCGTTTGAAAAATATTCCGTGCTCGCTCTCGTCGCTGGTTGACAGAAGTACGGTTCTTTTGCTGCTTTTTTGCATCGGGAGAATTTGTCTCCTCGTCCGCGGAAATTTCAATTAGATATTCTATTTGACCGAGGGTCTCAATGGGGTGGTGCCTTTTACGGTTATCGGCTAAAGTTTTGGCTCTTTTACGGCTATCGGTTAATTTTTTTCAGTTACGGTTCAAGAAGAACTTTTATTTAGCAGCAACATGAAACTACTACACATGGCGTAACTTAGAAATTGCATGCAAATAAATTTGTGGCTATTATGTCCGGTATTAAACCGGTCAAGGTTTTCAAAACACAAAATGGCCGGCAGTCCTATATTCTCAGTAAATTTCACAAAATGGAAAGATTTTAGCTAATCTAAACTATCATATGTCGATTAAGACAAGTCAAGCGATTCTGAAATGCCTCACAGATCTCAAGTCTAGTGTTTGGTTTACGCTGGGCTCAGAAGACAAAACCGTGTTTTGTGACACTTGGAACTTTTTACAGCTCGACTGCTGGTCAAGGCTTTCAAAACACTAAATGGCCGGTAGTCCTATATTCTCAGTAAATTTCACAAAATGGAAAGATTCTAGCTAATCTAGACTATCATATGTCGATTAAAACAAGACAAGCGATCCTGAGATGCTTTATGGATCTCAAGTCTAGTGTTTGGTCTACGCTGGGCTCAGATGACGAAACCATGTTTTGTGACACTTAGAACTTTTGTTGGCTAGACTGCCGGTCAGGGTTTTCAAAACACCAAATGGCCGGTAGTTCCATATTGTCAGTTGGGTGCCCCTGTCGTTGGGTGCCCCTGAGTTTTGAAAATAATAATAATAAAAAAAGATATCGCGCACATAAATTTTACTTTACCATATCTTCAGCTGTATCTTCTATTCAGCTGCATAGCCCACGCCAGATTTTTTCTTTGTCCTGGGCGGAAAATCCTCGTCCTCCCTCACCAGTTTGGACAACATACTGTAGAATAAGACGTAGTTCTGGAAATAACTGTTTATTTAATTAATCTAAGCAAATAGGTCTAGTAGAGTCAAAAATCCTATGCAAGCGGCTGGACGAACAATGTGACAACAGCTGTGACAGCGAACGTTAGAAGAATTCGAACTTGAAAACCAGGGCCGCCCTGTTGAAAACTTAAAGGACGGTCGCGCGATCGCCTTTTGTTTTCTGGTCAAAACTAACGCAGCGGACCCTCGTTCAGTGTTGATTGACCTAGAAGCGATAGTACCATCCCTCCCATTGAAAGTGTTGCATTGTTGTGCGAACGCGGTCGCTAAGGCCCAGTTCAGACGTCGTGCTTCTACCGTGCCTTAGTGTATTCCAGCTAAACTCTCTTGATAAACACATTGATCCTGATATAAATCTCACCTCAAACAAAATACGCTCAAAATATTATTCCCCACACAGCTTTGTGCAGTTTATTGACAGCAAACAGTTGCAAACAAAAATCTCCTTTTTACATACAAATATGCGTAGCTTAAAGAAAAATTTTGAAGAATTTCAACATCATGTCTTAAGTGAAATGAATTTCCGTTTTACTATTATTGGTGTAACAGAAACTCGTATATGCGATCGTGAATGTAGTTTTAATTTTGTACCAGAATTACCAGGATACTGTTTTGAATCGGTCCCAACACCTTTATCTGCCGGTGGTGTTGGCCTGTTCATTGATCAAAATTGTAAATACCGCGTCCTTGAACGAGTCTCCAATTCTTGCTATCAAGCCCTATGGATTGAACTTCATCTGCCTAACAATAAGAAATCTGTATGTGGTGTTACTTATAGGCAACACAATAACGCTAATGAGTTTCTAGAATACTTGACAGATTTTCTTGAACGCCAATGCCGCCAAAATCAAAATATTTATCTCATGGGAGACTTCAACATAGATCTGTTAAAATATGAAACTTGTAGTTACACACAAACCTTGCTCCAAACAATGCAAAGTTTTTCATTGTTCTCAGTGGTTGATAAGCCGACTAGAGTCTATGGTAATTCATCAACTTTAATTGACAATATTTTCATAAATAATCCTGAGAATAATATAGTCAGCGGCAATATCGTGTCCGATACAACAGATCACTTCTCTCAGATGTGCATATTAACGTCGCACTGTAAACCATTCTTTCCAAACAACAAAACTAAGGTTCGTGACTATTCTACTTTCAATGCAAAATCTTTCATTGACGACTTGCAGAATATTAATTGGAATAATATTTGCAAACATACCGATGCCAATCAATCGTTCTCCAGGTTTTACAAATGCGTCAACAAGACAATTAACAAACACGCCCCTTTAAGAAGTATATCCAATCGTAAACAAAAATTCCTTGCTAAACCACGGCTGACTGCGGGTTTAAGAAAATCAATCAGGGTAAAGAATAACCTCTTCTATACCTCAGACCGTGACAAATACAAATTTTACAGAAATAAAATCATCTATCTTACGAGATTAAGTAAAGCGAACTACTACCAAAGTTTCTTTGATCTCAACATATCAGTAATATGCGTCAAACTTGGAAAGGAATTAACGAGCTAATTGGAAACTGTAAAAAGAAAAACAAGCGCAACTCAGCTAACTCTATTCGCTCAAACCCGAATGAGGTTCCAACTAGTGACCCGAAGGAAATAAGCAATATTCTTAACAAATATTTCGCCACTGTTGGGAGCAAACTGGCTTCTAACATTCCTCAGACTACAAATACATTCTATGATAATTTAGATCCGCCACTTAATCGCACTTTCTTCTTTGATCCTATTATTCCGGAAGATATCAATTTAGAAATTTCAGTTTTGCAAGACAACAAGGCCCATGGTCTCTACTCATCTCTAGTTAGGCTGCTGAAATTGGCAAAAAGGGTCATATCCGTACCTCTAGCCACGATTTTTAATAAGTCTATTTGCTCAGGGATTTTTCCATCTAAACTAAAGTGTGCTAAGATTATCCCGATATTTAAGGACGAAGATGACACTCTGCCCGAAAACTACCGACCTATTTCTCTGTTCACGATTTATAACAGGATTTTTGAAAAACTTATGTACTCCAGAGTTACCAAGTTTGTCAAAGATTGCAACATTCTCTATGATCAGCAATACGGTTTTCGCAGTAAGCACAGTACTCAGCATGCTGTACTTGATATTGTTAACACAATTCTCCAAAATATGGACAACGGTAAATTTTCGTGCGGTGTTTTCATCCATCTCAAAAAGGCTTTTGATACTGTTAACCATGAGATTTTGTTAGCTAAACTTGAAAATTATGGTATTAGAGGTGTAATCAACTCCTGGTTCAGATCATACCTGACTGATCGGAAGCAAACTACGGAAGTTAATAATGTTGTGTCTGAGGCTGAGACGACCTTGTGCGGCGTGCCACAAGGCTCAGTCCTCGGACCACTCTTATTCCTACTGTACATCAATGATATTTACAAGTCCTCTTCGTTATTTTTTTTTATCTATTTGCTAACGATACTAGTATAATACTTGCAAATAACAACCTAAAGGAACTCGAAACACTTGTTAATCGCGAGCTTGGCAATGTCAACGAATGGCTAAAGGCCAACAAACTGTCCTTGAACATAAAAAAATCAAATTTTGTAATCTTTCGTCCCCGGCAAAAGAATATGCCCTTCATACCTAGGATTAGAATTTTTGACTCCGTGACTAACACCTACGCAAACCTTGAAAGGAAAGATTATGTAAAATATCTTGGCTTAATGATTGATTCAAATCTTTCATGGAAATACCACATCGAATCCATCTGTCACAAAATCAGCAAGTCGATAGGAATTATAGCTAAGATTCGACATTATGTCCCGCGCCGTGTTCTACTTTCAGTTTACAACTCATTAATTGTCCCTTAATTGACTTATGGTATCTGTGGTTGGGGAAACTGTGCCTTGACATTTCAAAGAAAGATCGTAACTCTACAAAAACGGGCCTTACGTCTCATTTACTTCAGTAAGTCTAAGGAACATGCCGTACCCTTCTTTCTCAAATCAAATTGCCTTCCCCTGCCTAGCCTATTTTTCAGAGATTGCAGCTATTTATTGTATGATATCAACAGACAGACAGCACCAGTTAGTATACTTAATCAGTTCGTTAAAACAAGTCAGATTCATAACTACAGAACAAGATCTGTCTCTAGCGACTCGTTTTATGTTAAGTTCTCTAGAACCGATAAAATGTACGCCTTTTTCACGAGAATCGGTGCCCAAATTTGGAACTCTATTCCTTATTCGATTAAAATACTTAAACGTTCGTCCTTTCGTAAAAAAATAAAGGAATTATTACCAAATTTTTTGCGGTCAGAAGATGATTATGTCGAAGTCTCCTGTCTTATTAAGTTATTTAATACTTTAGGTTAGCCTCTCTTCGTAATCGTTATGTACATGCCTTGTTTTATGTTAGTTTAAATTCTATTTACTGTATTGTAGTGTCTTCACTGTTATTTAGTCCATCTATATATAAATCTTGTTTTGTAATATGTCTTCAGCTCCCCCCGCCTCGATTAGTTCATAAGTAGACTGCAAAACAGTCCGTATTTTTGCGTATTCAAGTACGCGCGAGCAGTCAAACAAAAGGTCTGGAATGAGGCTGAAAACAGAGAGCGAGACTGGGGAGAGACGCTAAAAATACGGACTGTCCGTTTTGCATACGTTATATTCGTTCGAATTACCCGCTTCTCCCAGCCACGGGCAATTCCCATTGGCTAAATTTCGATGCAAGCTGTCACCAAGCTGTCAAGCAATGTTTTCAACATGTCATTCACGTTGTTCCATACCGTGATGAATTGCTAAAGCTTTCGCTGTAAAATGACAGATGTTGATCGCCTGGATTTGCTCGCAAGAATTGGGATTTGTTTTAAAATCGGAGCAGAGGGAAGCTTTGGAGTTGCTACTCAGGGGAAAGGATGTTTTCTGTGTTCTACCAACAGGATTTGACAAAAGCCTTATTTATCGGATGTTTGTTCATGCAAAGAGTTCTTCAAGACCGTCATTGTTATCTCGCCTGGCTAAAAAAGCGATCGGTAGGAAACGCACGACTTTTACCTCATGCAAACATGCCGCTTGTTCCAATGAATTGTTTTCTCTGTCGAGTAGATTATGCTTTGGAGGAAAACGTTTTGACTGAAAAAATGTGAATTTTGGCCGCTTATTAAATATAATTCATACTGAGAGGTCGTGACACGCATATTGATTTTCTCTGGTAGGCATGATTTGCCCTCTGACGCAAGAGCATTTTCTTTCTTGGCCCCTTTAGAAACGTAAAGCTCTTCATTGTGGCTGATTAAGGGTTTTAGGTTGTTTTATTTCTCCAAAGTGCCTCCTGGATTTGAATAATTTAACCGATTTTCTTTGTGTCCGTGAATGTGACTTTTTCCTGCAATGTTTTGTCACGCTGGGCCCAGCTCGTTAGCGTTTTTGGCAGGATTTTAAATTCTCACAGATAGTAATTTACAGAGCTAAATCACCACGACGTGGTTTGGAATGAGGGGATTTACTCATTCTTTTCAATCGCAATAATTGTTCATTGTCAGTTCTTAAACCCGCAGTCAGCCATGGTTTAGCAAGGAATTTTTGTTTACGATTGGATATACTTCTTAAAGGGGCGTGTTTGTTAATTGTCTTGTTGACGCATTTGTAAAACCTGGAGAACGATTGATTGGCATCGGTATGTTTGCAAATATTATTCCAATTAATATTCTACAAGTCGTCAATGAAAGATTTTGCATCGAAAGTAGAATAGTCATGAACCTTAGTTTTGTTGTTTGGAAAGAATGGTTTACAGTGCGACGTTAATATGCACATCTGAGAGAAGTGATCTGTTGTACCGGACACGATATTGCCGCTGACTATATTATTCTCAGGATTATTTAGGAAAATATTGTCAATTAAAGTTGCTGAATTACCATAGACTCTAGTCGGCTTATCAACCACTGAGAACAATGAAAAACTTTGCATTGTTTGGAGCAAGGTTTGTGTGTAACTACAAGTTTCATATTTTAACAGATCTATGTTGAAGTCTCCCATGAGATAAATATTTTGATTTTGGCGGCATTGGCGTTCAAGAAAATCTGTCAAGTATTCTAGAAACTCATTAGCGTTATTGTGTTGCCTATAAGTAACACCACATACAGATTTCTTATTGTTAGGCAGATGAAGTTCAATCCATAGGGCTTGATAGCAAGAATTGGAGACTCGTTCAAGGACGCGGTATTTACAATTTTGATCAATGAACAGGCCAACACCACCGGCAGATAAAGGTGTTGGGACCGATTCAAAACAGTATCCTGGTAATTCTGGTACAAAATTAAAACTACATTCACGATCGCATATACGAGTTTCTGTTACACCAAACAGTGCACTGATTCACCTCTAGTTCCTCCGAGCGAGCGACGCCAAACTCGCGTAGGTTGCGAGCGAAATGCTTTCCCGATTTGCTGCCGTAACAAACTAAGAAATTTCACAACTAATCAAGCAAGCTATTTCCGAAATACATGAAGAAGGTGACATGAATAGTGCAGGATATTCACTGATTGAGTAGTTAATCAGAGCGCCCGAAAAACACTATCCACTGTTTTAGTATATACTAAATGGATTTAGCCAAGGCTAAAAGCGAGGCTCCTGCGGCGTAGTCATGAGACAAGGAGATACCGACAGATTCATATTGCTTTCTACATAATGTCCTTTATTAACTGAACCACTATCTTTATAGTACAAATCGTAATCTACTTTCATTTAGTATCAGTACTTTTACATTCGTGCTGTATTACTTTAATATCATGTAGTTTCACTGATGTTGGTAATAGTACACTGATCGTTACTATGGTAATCAATACACTGCATCCTTCCCGGGCGGGTTCTAAGAATATTCGAAAGATACATTCAACGAGTCACAAGATCATATAAAATCAGCAAAATTTAATGTCAATAATATACAAAATTGTCACAGTCCTTAGTTGACTTTACAACTCGTCCTGACCTAGTGGTGATGACCTGGTCATTCTGAGAGGCTTGCTCGTCGACATGACCAGAAGGTTTAGCGTCGTCACAAGCGTCAGAACCCTTAGCACTAGGGTCACTAGAATTGTTGGACTTCTTATAGTTGGTAGAAATTTCTACTTCGCCATCATCATCTATGCTCTCACTAGGCGCATGCTTTAAGTACTTTGCATTGCGAACCAAGGTGGTACCCGTGTCCACGTTGACTAGACTGAACGTGTCCCGCGCTTTGTTCTCAATGATAACGTGCTTAGCTAAAGAGAATTTCGAGTCCAATTTGTTGGGCTTCATATTAGCACAAAACACGATATCGCCAACGCTAAAATTATGCGGGGACGCATGTTGCTTGGTGTCATGATAGTCTTTCAATTTCGCTTGATACAAGCTACATTTTGATCGATGATCACGATCAAGTGCCTATCCTGCTGTATTTGAGTTAGACTCCATGAGCGGTACCTTCGCACTAGGCGATTTGCCACTAATTTGATGTGGACTTGCGCGATAAGTCATAAGAATTTTCGGTAGTTCCTTTTGCCAGGGCTTGCCTTCAGAGATCAGCGCTCGAAAATTTTTCTTTAAGTATCGGTGAAATCTCTCCAACTTTCCGTTACTTCGCGCATAGTACGGAGAAACACGAATATGCCTTATTCTACACGATTTGAGAAACGCTTCGAATTCGTCGCTGATGAACTGTTTTCCATTGTCTGAAACGAGTTCCTCTGGAAACCCAAATCTAGCGAAAATATCAGTTAGGGCCTTAATGACTTCGCGTGAAGGGATTTCTTTTAACATGTACGCTTCCGGATAAGACGAATAATGATCAGTGTAGGTCAATATGAACTTTCCGTTGACTGGACCAACGAGATCCACTGCAACTTTTACCCAAGGACCACGAGGTAGAGGCGTTGGCTGAAGCGGTGTGTATTTATTCAAAGATTGATTCACCACGAATGCCTCACAATTTCTGATCATTTTCTCTGTTGCATCGTCCATACCGGGCCAAAACAAAACGAGTTCTAAGAAATTGTTTGGTCTTTACAATTCCCTGATGCGTCTCGTGCGCTAGTGATAGAATTTGTTTTCGTAGGGACTGTGGAACAACAATTCGATTACCTCTAAGAATTGCTCCTTCAAGAATAGACAATTCGTCCTTTATGCGGCTACACGGTTCAAGATCAGTTTCGCGTGACCATTTTCCGTTTTGAATTTGGGCAAGTAATTTGGAAAGCGTGACGTCTTTGCTAGTTTCGCATCTCATGTCAGAAAGAGTGACCGCTTGAAGATCTGACATGTTTGACATGCATGTAAACAAATCGTACATTATTTTCGCAAACGAAACCGGTATCTGAACAATCATTTTGCTTGGATGGCAATCGCGACATCGAATCTGCTGTGGTGGCGTTCCCCGGGGGTTACTCCCACACATTACCTATACCGGTAGGTGCCGCCCGACAGGGTCGTGATTTTGAAGCTCCTGATTTAGAACGGGGTATCCATTTCATAGGCGTTTTCTAGAACGGGGTATAAAAAATTGTGGATCACGCCTTTATCTTCTGCTTAAAATTGTTGCTGATTATGAAGAAGCATTTATTTGATGTATAAGTCGAACACATAAAGATATATCTTTTTAAAAAAACAGGCTGTTTCAATTTACAAACTTTCTAGAACGGATTATAAAAAATTGGCCCATTTCTAGAACGGGGTATCAGTTTTAGGGCGAATTCTAGAACGGGGTATAAAAAATTGGCCCATTTCTAGAACGGGGTATCAATTTTAGGGGAATTTGTTTTTAGAACGAGGTGCCAATTTGGAGTCCCGGGCTCCCGGGACTCCAAATTGGCACCCCGTTCTAAAAAAAAATTCCCCTAAAAGTGATACCCCGTTCTAGGGTGGAACAAGAGTACAACAGTTTGCTTGTTAACGCATTGAACCGTATTTTTAAAAGCAATCTGTCCTTGATTAATTTAGAATGGCTGCTTACAAAACTGGAGCTTTCGTGAGTTCGAAATATTATACCCCGTTCTAGAAAACGCCTCTGAAATGGATACCCAATTCTAAATCAGGAGCTTCGAAATCACGACCCCGTTGGGCGGCACATACCCGTATAGGTAATGTATGGGAGTACCCCCCAGGTCTCTTACCTTACGAAGGAACCACCATCATTCTTAACCTTTCAAGTTAAAGAGGCGAGAATTTTCGCGATTCTTTTTTGTTTTGTTTTGCGTACAAAATCTTTGCTGTAACGATTCGACATATCATTCCTTAAACCGAAAGGACGTTTCAGTCACCAATGTTGACGTCTTTGAGAAAAAGCTGTTCAGTCTCCAGTTTTTCTACAGCTTGCTTCAGGTTTAAAGCATTCGCGGGGAAGGGGAATAGGACTGGTATGTACGGAGAGACTTTCGTCTCATGAATTTTACAACTTTTTGCAATCTAATTTTTATTTTTTTATTTTGGTTGGAAGACTTTTTTTACCCACGGCATTTACCCACACCCACACCCACCACTCACGACCTCTACCCACTACCCACGACCCGCACACGCGCGAACTCAGTTCGCAGGTCTTAAAGTTTGTAGGTTTCGTTGGCGCGCTCTCAACTTCCCAACCTGCTGCGTGTTATTTTTAGTTCTACTGGGAAATTTTTTAGGGTGCACTTCGCTGGTTATGTTTCGTCTCTGTATCCTAACAGGATGAATCTTTTTGTGGAAGCAAAAAAGTTCATTGACTTCATTTCATGTTCCGTTAACATTAAGGCTGAGGAATTCAGGCGAAATATTTAAGAACAAGTTTATTATGTTTCCAGTCTATAACTTCTGTAAACTCATCTCAGTCGTTTCTGGTTATTGCATATCTAGTACAACGAGAACTAGATGATATATAACAAAATTGGACAATCCTCAACTGAAACTGCTTAACGTGTTGCAGCTTCTCCCTCAGCTCTAGATTTCTGCTCATTTATGACAGCCCTTGTGAAAATAGGGCCATGTGGCCCTATGATTGAAAAAGTCCTAAAACACTGCGCTACTTCCGCCGATCGCCCCCACATTTGGCCCACAGGAAGTAGATAGGTTAAGCCAACTACAGGGCTAGTTTTAGATCTCAACCGTTGATATGCTTCACGCAATGATGTTTTTAAATTTGAGAAAATGGAGGGCGACCTAGTAAATAATTCGTGGCGGCTTTGGTCATTAAGAAATGCGTTTGGCGACGAATTTCGACCAAATCGGTCCTTCAAAATGAATTTCAAAGCTTTTTGGATCATGGTAAATAAATGTAAAAGTCGAGGTAATATAAGAAAAGGTTTATAACAATAGCGTGCTCTTCGCTATGAGTTCAATCTGCTACCCATGTTCATCAAATTCAATGAAATATTGCTTCTTAGTTTGGCTTTGTACCGTCAAAGCCTTGCTTGTTTTCTTAAATAAAGTGCTTGAATTCATATTTGTGTGTTTTAGCTTGATTTATAGATGAGAACATAAAGATAACAGACATTTTCTGCAAAAAAGGACATAAAATTCTGCATCGTTCAATTATTTTTAGCCGATTATTGATTGTTGCTATATAACAAGAAACGAAAGTGTTCTTTTAATCCTTAAGCTCAATCCAAGTATTAATATCACAAAATCTCTTTTTATATTTGAATTTTGAGAAAATGTATCTTGTAAATTTTTTCAGTGAAGTATTATGGGCTTCCAGAGAGCAAATTTTGTTTTTGGAAAGTTTATTGTATGCTCTTTCAAATGAGGTATAGCTTTTTAAGCTGGGGTAAATAACAGTGGAGATATAATTTTCGTAAAATGTATGGTCAAATTTGCTGATTGCTCGCCTGTCAGAAAGCTGCTATTCTCTATCCATCTTCTTCTGTTCAAAGGTTATTACATGTACATAGAAGCATCCAGTCCACATCAACCAGGTGATGATGCAAAATTGTACAGTCCTCCACTGAAGTTCTTTGGGATTATGTGCCTTGAATTCTATTACTATATGTCTGGTGCATCTATTGGAAGCCTGAACGTTACCATAAATAAAACAGTGGTGTTCTCTGCGAGTGATCATAAAGGAGACGTATGGAATAAAGCCAGTATAAATATATCCTCAATTATGGGATTGCATTGGGTAAGCATTAATGAGACAATCACTGAATAACGACCCTGAAAACGGGTTTCTCTGAAAGAGGTAACTTTTAAAGGAAAAAAGCGTTAGTTTGTGGAGAGGCACAAGGCACAGGAATATTTGTTCCGGAAGGGGGCTACTCTAAGATTTACACGGCGAGGCGGATTATTTGTCCACTTTGAAAATATATTTTGGTCCTCGCGTCTAAATTCTTCAAATCTTTACTTATGTTATGAGTCTTATCTGTATTTGACAGCAAAATAAGTGAAAAAAAGGTAAAAGCGTAGACTTGGTTACTTTAATTCGTTATGGCTCCCCCGCCGCCGACTTCATCTTACCTTTAGCGGGGGGGGGATGAAGCTAATTTGGGAAGCAAATAAATTAGGGTGAAGAAAGGTAATATACACCTGATAAACCCGTTAGTCAGCTAATAGGCTTAGAAACCATTAATCTCGTACCCAGATTTCTTGTTAAGGAAGCCGGAGGCGAGATCTGGTCAAATCCGAATTGTACACATGATTGCCTGTCAGGATTGCGTGACAGGCAATGCTCCAAATCCTCAAAATCGCCCCTTTTTGACGTGTTTAACAACGAATTTGATAAAGCGTGAAGTTTTTTTTTTTTAATTTGTAACAAACCCTAAATCCAATCCTTTTTTAATTTGCCGATTGTTTTAAAATTTATACCCTAGTCTTCCCTAATTTTTGTACATTTAAAACATTTGAAAAATCTTCTAAAAAGTTTTCAAAAAATTATGGGACCAAGGCCTCAAAACTGAGTCATTTTACGATTGAACGAAATCTTGGCTGATATTTGAGAAAAAGAGGCTCTAAATTAAACACATATAAAATGTATAACTTATTTATCATAATTATTCTTTTCAAGGTGGATATGCATTGCTATAAGAGATTTCCTTGGGGCTTTCTTCAAAAATTGCTATTTTACGTCTATTTATATAAAGTACCCCCTCTAACTGTATGGCTTAACTTTTCATTATTTGAAAGACTAATGAGTCTTGTGAAGTCAATAGAGATAATACATAGATTTAGCCAGGGCTAAAAGCGAAGCTCCCATTAATAAATTATAAATCAAACAATAAACTTGTAATCCACAAATCAGTTAACTTAAGGGCACATTCATGTGACTTTTGAGGGAAAGGATAAGTTATTTTAGAGTGAAACATCTTACATCGAGTTGCACTAAATATATGTACACCCAAAAAATAGCAAACATCTTCTATCACATTCAATAGCCATAATTGCTCTTGATCACAGTAGATTAGGCCTCGAAAACAAATTCTTGGAAAACAAATCAGGCCGCTTTTTTTTGGCGTTCGACAGGTTTACTTTACAAATTCTTGCCAACAAATCTGAGGGTGTGTAAACCAACCTTTTATACTTTTTTTACATCACATCTGAGGTGAAACAGTACTTTTTATCATACAGAACTCGGACAGAATACGGCATTCCACAATTTTTCAATGTTCCGGATGATCAATCGTGGGCTTTTAGCGAAACCGTTCAAAAAATTTCCAAAATCACCCATACGGCCAGCGGGTTCTCATTTTTAGTGCGAGCTGTCATTGTGGTCGAGTGTTTGAATGAACTTTAATGGAGATACGCTTCAACATAATAACGAATTTATTATCATTATTAATGGTTCCAGTTATAACAATATGTAATCTTATAAAGCGTTCGATACGCGCGATATTTCTAAGTACTCCTGCGAGCGATGTTCATGAACGATGAAAACAAACACCACGGACAAGCGATTAAAATTGCAAGAGAGACTACTAACAATCAATAAAGGAAATATAATTCGGTAAAACATTTACAGAGACAACAATTTTCAATCACGAAGACAAGTATTAAAGTGTCTCTAAAAATCCTGAGTCTTTAAGCTTAAAGCTTAAGCTTAAGTTTATTTTGTTTTACTTTCAGCCAGCCTCCCTGTGTTTGTTTTTTTTTTCAAAAATGAACTCCTCGAAGCAAGAAAATCACTCAAAGTTTTCTTTCCACAGCCAAATTGATAACTAAATATTCTTCGGAACGTTTTTTTTTCTATTTGCCGTGAGAAAATATATCTGAAGGCCTTTTATAGTTCTGTAAGCTTATATAAAACCTGATACTAGATCAGATCATTGACTCAAATCTTAACAAACGTGCAAAAATTTGCCGCATAAACTGTGCTTGACTTCATGAAATTAGATATAACAAAAACAAACATCAAATACAGTAATTACTCAGGCTTACCATTCGAGATTCAGTTCCTGAAAGATATCAAGGAAGGCCATAGTTGCTTGAGACTTTTAAACCCTATTACGCATTGAGCAAGGTGAAAGACGAAAACAATGCCATCCGAAAACGGATTACCCAATTTTGACAAGCGACGCATTTCTCAACCAAAAACCCAATAAACAAACCAGCCATGGATAACAGAAGACTCTTGATAGCAGCTGTATTTCATTTTGTACATCCAGTGGAAAAAGACAGTTAAAAACATCACAAGTTGACACAAAACTCTGTCAGCTTTAGCTGTCAAAGTAAACAACTTTCAAGATGCCGCATAAATTTTCCGCATGAACTCACCTGTCAAATTTTGACCAATCAGAGTACAAAAATAGGACGTAGAGCGTGACCAACGCGTGACCATGGTAAGAAAAGGTCTTTCCTGCCTTTTTTTTTAAAAAAAAGTGGCTGAATTTTCGCGTTCGAGGTCAGTTTGAAATCCAAATCTTGACAAGGCGGGGCCATAGTGACACAACAACATAATTATTTCATATGAATCATTGGAAAAAATAGACTTGAGCCTGCGATCATTTGAAACTGGTAATTTGTCAGCGGATAACTTCAAAAAAGTACTCGACCTCGATGGGTCGACGCTTGAGCCCGCGGTACGGTCAGGTGATACTGGTCAGCGGATATCCTGTTTTGACAGCTGTCAATTGATCACAACATTGATGTGCAATTAGTTTTCTATCGGGCTCCCAAACTAGCTAGAAAGTGTGAGAGTAAACATTGGTGTGCCTGTGGTGCGGACGGACGGTCGTACGGTCACGTGATTACCAAATTTTCTCGGATGGGTAGATTACCACATTTCCTTAGCTATGGGGCTCCGTCCACGCGCGCGCTTCGCAGTAAATTAAAATTAAATTAAAATTCATATTTGGCTGAGAGGCTTAGGGGCATAAAACAGCGGAAATCATCTTGAGCCGCCAGCAATGAATAATACATTTCTTTTGTTTCAATCCTCCAAGCCTCAGAACCAGGTATGAATTTTAATGGAGAGAACAGACTTCAGAGAAGATCTAAAATTATCTTAAGAGGGATTACGATGGGTATAGGGCCTATATGGGGGATTAATTCTGTTAGCCCCTTTATCCTCTCTTGTTTTAAAATATCAAATATTGTCTTTTATAAAAGCCTTTCTTTTGGACTTATTACCTATAATATCACGTTTTTGACAGGTAATATTTGAAGGCGTAGTGGGCAGCAGTTACACCGGTGACATAGCAATTGACGACTTCTCTTTGAAAGCAGGGTCATGTTTTTATGGTGAGTACTGAATAATTGCACATCAGTCACCTATTTTAAGCACAGGCAGACCACCCTCTGTTCGTGTGGCAGTTGTTGTTAATGAGCATCGATATTTTGTGTACTTAATCAATACAGATTCAATAGAATCTAAATGTTTACATAAAAATTCAAGCATTGGACGGTGAGAAAAAAATAAATAAATAAAATAACAACGAAATGACCAAGTTAACATTTCACTTGAATTTTTATTGAAACATCTGGGTTCAAATCTGTATTTTAGCCGCTGTAACGTATATCTGTATTTCTTATTGCTCATGGACAGTGAAAAAAGGTTTTTCCGTGGGTTGGTTAACTTCTTGCAAAAAATATTTACGGAAAAAGTCAAACTTAAAACTTTTGCTTTTGGGGGAAACTTTTAAACAATTTTATTTATCTAAGGGCAACTTTTGAGCAAGGGTTTGTGATATTTTGAATCTTTTTTTAACTGACTTTGATGCATCTTTAGGAGGGTTTGAATGGGGTTTAGTGTTTAATGTTATTTGCTCATAATTTTTAGTGTTTGCTGTTAAATTGGCCAATTTTTTAATGTTTGCTGTTTCCGAAGGAAATACTGTTAAATGTTTGGAGGGTTCTTCAGACATCTTCGGCAATGGTCAAACCTCCTCGATTCGTTAGTCTTCGGGAATCGTCGGTGGCCTTCGGAAATCTTCTGAAATAATCCGGATTTGTCGTAAAATGGCCGAAAACTTGTTGATATACTAAAAAAAACAATACTGGCCTTTTTGGAGCCGTTTTTTGCGTCTTCTTCCTGGAAAAAATTTACTGTTTCAGAGAATTTTTTACTGTTAGTGTTAAAATGCCTAAAATTTAACTCAGTTTCATGTTACAAAGCCAAACCAGTGAAGTGTTTAGCGTTATCGAGGTACCCCCATTCAAACCCTCTCTTAGGGACAGCCTTAACAACTGCCAAACTAGCAGAGGGTTAACTGTCTGTGTTTTGACAAAAAAAAAAGATTTCATCGCAACAATAGAATGTGGAAAGATTCGGCAAAAACCTCGCTATACAGTTAATGAAGTGCCGTTAACCAAGAATAGTTTACGGGCTCCTTTTGTCGCCTGCAATAATTCATTGCTAAGGCTCCACTGGCGGCCCACACTCTGTGGGAGTAAAAAACAAAACAAAAACACAAGGTAAGTCATTTTTATTTCTATTTTTGTCAAAAAATGGAATGCTGGTTTTCAGTGTCACGCCATTCAAAATAGATCAAAATAAAAATTAAATCAAAACTGTCCAAAAGATATATAGAGTCCAGAATCTGGGAAATGAAAGGAGGTACATATACAAAGGCCCTCGCCAAGATTCAGGTCAGAGGAATATTTCGTATACGAGATATCCGAAGAAATGTTTTACCCAAACTTATAGAGATTTGCATGGAGACGCCATGCTGGTGCTCACCTGGATGAGCACCAACATGGCGGACGGAAACCAACAGAAACATCTGTTACCGTGTTTGGCTACAAAAGCGTGAATTTATTCTTCGAGAAACTCATAAACATTAAAGTAATACTTTTTCTAATAGATAGCAAAATTTACTCAAATAAGTCATTTTTTTAACCTACATGACAGCTCTCTTGGCCGTCATGTAAATGCCGCGTCACGCAAAAGCTTAGAAATTCAAGCGTACGCTATCACAAAACCAAGAACCCTTTTGAAGCCAACATTTGTATGAAAATTAGTTTTCAGCTGCTCTAATGCATCGTGAAAGTAAAATCTCGGTAGGATCGATAGTTTTTTAGTTTGAATTTTAGTGACGTCATGTGAAAACCAACAATATATAATTAGGAAGTATTTTGTTCATTTTCATACATTCTTTTATATATTCAAAGTCCAACGAGCTCCCACAGAGTTTGGGCCGCCTGTGAAGCCCCAAGGTGATTTCTTTAGTTTTGTTCTCTTAAGCCGACTCTCAGCCAAGTATGAATTCTAATATATCGAAAATGCCCCTGGGAGGGGGGATACTCCCTTATATGGCCTATACAGGGATGTGCCGCTGGACAGGGTATGGTTTTCGTCCTCTCTGTCCTAAACAGGGTGTACAATTATTTGCATTTCGCGCAAGTCTGTCTTAAACAGGGTATGCAGTTTCGCGCAAGTCTGTCCTAAACTGGTGTGCATGATTTGTGCGAGTCTATTCCAATTATTAAGTTAAACAGGGTGTTTCATTCACGATCGATTTTCTTCTTAGTATGTCATCACCCAAAGCATTTACTGGAATAAATATGTAATGCTATTGAGGGAGTTGTCCTAAACAGGGTGCTAAAATTGAAAGTGTTGTCCTAAACAGGGTACTATGTATTTTAGGAATGTTTTGTCCTAAACAGGGTAGTAGTAATACTGGCTACCTTGTCACACAGCCAATCAGAATCGCGTATTTCCAACACGTGATCGCTCTCGACCAATCAGAGGGCTGGATTTAATTACCCCAGAAAAGTTGCGTCATACCAAGGGGTACGTCATGTAAGACATCACGAAAAGTCCCCCAACATTCCCCCTTCATGTAATAGCACACCAAATGTCACTTTTTAACTCATTTTATTCTGACGTCATTCCTTATTTTACAAGCGGGACGTGTGTGACCTCCAAGTGACGTCACGCCCTTTCAAATATTCATTTATCGTACAGGTCTTAAAAAATTAACAAGAATGGGATGCCTTCCTAGTGCGTGACAGCGTTGAATGAATTCACGTTTGGTGGACCATTTGCTCCATCCTTTTCCGGTAGAACACCAACATAATTTTACCAGAGAAGGACAGTATACGTGACACATGTGTATCCTAATGCTGAATCTCACTGCTAAAAAGAAAACGTTCTAAAAATAGGTCACGAAGTTCAACGATTCGTTTCAGATAAGGTCTGGGGTTGTGGTTTCTCCAACCCGTTCGATGACAACTGGAACACCAACAGAGTTTAACAAGGGAGGGTAAATGATCGTGGCATTCGTGAAGCGTTATGCCCGAGACTAATTCTGAAAAAAAAATCAGTTGGTCACAAAAATCATGAATTCATCCAACTAGTTGCCGTTCAGAATTCTGCAAAGCAAATTGCAATTTGATCAATGGCCAGCTGGTTTCGCCTAGCAACCGATGATCGGTGTGTTTACATTGATTGAACAGGAAATCTGAAAAACAATCATGGCAAGCCGAAAAATCGTGAATAATTTGACTGTCGCACTTCATCAGCTATTTGTGCACAGCGTTCTAAATAAGGTTTTAGGGAAACATTATACATTCTCTGTCCTTTACTTCCATATTTACACCAGCATAACTTTACAAGCGAAGGTCGATAGGTGTGGCTCCCATGAACGTTTACGGCAAAGAATAAAATGTCTGTTATGGAAAAAAATTTAATAAAGATGAAAAAGGTAATAAGGGTTGTATGTCCAGTGTTTGTACCATTTGGAACCGAAATTAACCAAATGTCTTCGTCTTGGCCAACTTAAATAGTGACTTTGACCTGTGACTGTCCATGGAATCGAGCACCACCAATCCCCCTCTTTGACTAGACAAAAGAAGCCGTCTGATCATGGTACCATGTGAAACATAAAAAACGTACATTTTGATATCTACATTTTTGGAAGCGAACACGTGTTTCGGGATTGAAAGGGGTACTTTTTAATACTCGCCAAGGCTTACTACAAAACAAAAATATTTTAATGTCTTAAGACTCGGCCCTGAAAATTACAGATACACAATGACGACCTTTCCCAGTCCACCATTCTTGTAAAAGTAAAAACCTATAAATTCTTCTTCTAACGAGAGAGGTGAAGTAAATCTCCTAAACCGAACTAATTTTTCGGGTTCCAGAGGAGTACTTTTCAAAACCGTCCATTCATTTATGTCTTCAAGCATGCCTACGAGAAAAGTAATACAGGGTTTCTTATGTGAACAAGATGACTATTCGGTAACAAAAGGCTAAATGTTCTTTCCCGCGGCCAATTTCGAAAGATGAAGTAATGGCTTAACACATAATGTGTTGCTAAAAGAAAAAAAAAAAATTAGGGATAATCATTAATCGTCCAGCCGTGTAATCCATACATGGTTTTTTTCGATAGAGTAAGCAAGATTGACACCCTTGAGAGGTATACACCAGTTGCCAGGTATTACAATAGAAAGTTTTCCTTTATAGGAGGGAAAATCGTCATCACACGGCCAACTTCTAAATACAGTATAATGCGTTAACACGTGAATGGATTCTAAAAGAAAAAAAACGGTCTCTTAATAAAATATACACCAGTTGCGTGGATTGACAAAAGCTATTTTTCCTTTGATCGGACAAGAATAAAATAAAAAGTAATGTGATACAATATGGTAGGTGTCTAGAAAAAAGAAAACAGTAATTTTTTAATCCTCTAATACAAAATCGACAAAGTCTTCAAAGCAATAAATGTCACATCCCCCACAGAGTTGACAGACAAATTTAACGGGTCTCACGTGGATTTGACAGTCAAGGTTCAAAGGTTCAAAAAGGAGGGTTGGGATCACTTTTCAACAGAGGGTGATAGCAAAGCCAGTGTGGTAGAGCGGTGGCATCGAACCCTAAAACAGAGAATGTATCGCTATTTCACGGCCCAGAACACCCTCAAGTACCTCGGTGCCTTACCACAGTTGATCAATACCTACAACACCACCTATCATCGCAGCATTGGTATGAAACCCTTGGTGGTGAAACCAAGCAACGAACTAAAGGTGTGGAAACGTCTTTACAAAACCACCCGACAACGTGTTAAACCTCCCAAGTTACGCAAGGGGGATAAAGTTCGACTCAACAAAAAGCATCGCCCCTTCAAAAAAGAGTACTTACCCGGTTGGACCGAAGAAGTGTTTTTGGTCACCAAGGTGCGACGACTCCCCATTCCCTCTTACAAAGTCAGTGAATGGGACGGCACGCCTATAAAAGGGACATTTTACGAGCAAGATCTTCAAAAGGTGCAAGCGGATGACGACAGTCTATTTCGCGTAGAAAAGATTCTCAAACGTAAAAAAGGACAAGTGTTAGTCCGTTGGAAAGGTTGGCCCAGCAAGTGCGATAGTTGGATCCTAGCAGACAATGGCAAGAAGAAAAACAAAACCGCGTAAAAAAAGACGTTCCACCCCAAGACGATGGGCAAGTCCAACCCGCGAGCAATGGGCTTATGCCAAAGCGTTTCACGATACAGAGGACCGCCAAAGAAAAGCCAAAAAGAAAAGGAGACAAGCCGGACGTCAGCCGCGCATGAGGAAAAGCAAAGCCAAAACCAAGACAGAAATGACCCTCATGGAACTAGCCAGGAGTTTTCCAGACATTGCCAAGACAGTGTCGTTTCATCCTAAGCAATCTACCTTTCGGTCTACTGTCAGTAAATTTCCATCCAGCAGAAAGAAGATAAATACTTGGTTGTAACCCCATCGAGTCATTATAACATCATGTCTGAGCCTATTCGTTTGACCTTTGTGAGCGACACCACGGACGAATTTCCCGAGAACACCAATGCTAGTTTCAAGGTGCGATTACCCGAAAGAATGACCCTGAAAGGAGAAGGATGGTACGTCAGCTTGTGGAAAATGACGGTGCCAGACCATAGTCAAAGCAACAGCGTCATCAGTTCCGACATGGACTTGAAGGTGGTGAAATCGACCTTGAAAATGCTTCAATTTACCAACAAGAATTCCAAAGGAAAATTCCAATCTGTGAATCTCAAAACCATGACCAAATCCTCCACGTTGAAATACATCATGAGTGATGATAAACCCGTCAGCAGCGGAGTGCAATTTTGGCAAAATGTGATGACGGATCTGCATAACACGTTTATCAAACAACTTCAGTTTGAAAAAAATGTTAAAAACGATGATTTACTGCTTATTCCACAAGAATGGTTTCCCTCTGTCAAGTTTGATGCAAACGGATTTATGTTGGAAAAAGTGCCCTCTGAAACCACTAAGGATTACAGTACCTTTTTAATCCACAAAGACATAGCCAAGTTATTTGGTTTTGTGGACTACGACCCTACCAGACAAGTCTACACAGATGGAGTCAATACATCGTTTGTGACAGAGGAAGATTCCTATCTTCCTTCAAATCTTCCTTGGGCTTCCTCCCTCGACTTGGGACTGTTCACGTTTGATCACAAAGTGTACAGAGCAAGCAAAACACCAGACACCACTACCCTTACAGCAGCGTCAGGGTCATCTCCCCAAATGGTGGCTTTGGAAGGAGACTACTACAAGTTTAGTCGATATGTGACTTGGCATTTCACTGGACTCAACGAATCTTTCGACAAATTGGTGGGAGAAACCAGACGTACCGTGTTACTATACTCTAACGTGGCCAACCCCACCATTGTGGGTGGAGATCGATACCCTCTGTTGCGCGAAGTGACCATCGAACGCAAGAGTGAAGGTACAGCCACCTCAGAACCCGTCACAAGAGAGTGGATTCCATTGAGAGGGAACGAACTTGAAATCGTGGAATTCGAGTTGGCTACCCCAGGAGGCCCGTTGGCAGTCTTACCACCCGGCAAAACCATTGTCACCATAGGACTTAAACAACTATAAAAAGCGGACTTTATTCACGTCTGGGTCATTACAACACAAAAATGCGAGGAGGAAGCTTAAACCGTTATCACACACCCGTCATGACCCGACAAAAGGGTAGAGGCGTCACAGACGACCTCGTCAAGATTGCCGGTCCTATGGTCATCAGAGAACTGTCGAAAGGTGTCGCCGAGGTAAAAAAAGGGGTTCCAACCACTAAGGCTTTGGGACAATCCATGGACCGATTTTCCAGAGACCTGAAAAGAAAAGCACCTGCTATTGCCGTGGGACTCGCCAAAGGAGCCGTCAAACGAAAGGCCAGCGCCACCTATAAAAGGTCTGCCAAGAGAGTCAGAGCTGTCAAAGACATTTTTTCATAATGGGCAGACCTGGAGGGTTTTTGAAAACCGAAAACAGACAACGCAAACAACGTGCCACGGGTCGGTACAAATCACCTTACCAAAAAGGTGAAAGTATTTACACACCATTGGAGGAGGCTGTGTTTCGACAGAGCTGACAGCGTAGACCTAACAGAGACATGTTGGAATGGATGGTCAAGAGAACCAAGGGAAAACAGCGAGGAGGTTTCAACGTTTCGTTGTCCAAATGGACAGTCGATTATATTGTCAAACGTATGCCTAGCAAAAAGAAACAACGTTAAATCGTATACCAAGCAAATAGAGTATAAATAAGCGAGAACAGTAAAGCCGACCATTATTGTTCATCATGTCTCTGAACCTGTTCGATCTCCCTAATGTGGACTACCGTTATGAAGCTAGCCGAGAAGTGCGGTTCAGACCGGCTTTGACAGGACTCAACCCAATCTCCTTCAACATACCTGCTTCGGAGGATTTCTATGATTTGGGAGAAACCAAACTGATCATCGAGTGCCGACTCACTCATCCCAGTACGGGTTACACGGGCATTGAGGTGCAAGCCTCCGGTGCAAGATCTGCTTCCGATGGCAACGACACTCGAAACATGGCCATTCAAAACAACTTTGCTCACACGATCTTCCGACAGATGGATTTGAAATTCAATCAGGTGTTGATGACGCAGCAGACTAATCAGTACCATCAAGATGCTTATCTCAAGACCCTTCTCAACTTTTCCCAAGAAGAAGGCAAGACTAAACTGGCTGCACAAGGTTGGGTCGACCAAGTCAACCCAACGGCAGAATTGATTGCCGCAGCAGCCAACTCTGATAAATTGACAGAAGCAGAAGGAAAGGGTGCCTTTGAAGCCCTAGAAGAAATCACCAAACCTTTGCAACTGAAACGATGGGCCACCTTTGTGGTCAAACCCAACTTGGCCGCTTTTCAAACAGGAAAAGCGTTGGTGCCAGGCGTGCAAATCGACTGTTATCTGAATTCGAACCTCATTTACCTGTATGGAACACCCAACAAAGGAACCCTCACTGACAAGAAGTTTCCCTATTTCACAGCTTCTGACTTTAAGGTTGAATTGTCCATGCGAAAATTGACCTTGAATTCCAGCATCTATGTGAAACTGGCCAAGGAACGACAATTGAGCAAACAAGCGGTTCCGTATCCTGTGGTGAGAAGTGAACTAAGAACCTTCTCCATTCCTAGCGGATCCACGTTCTGGGAACAAGACAATATCTTCTTGAACAGATTGCCTGACAGAAACATTGTGGCTTTGGCTCACACCGATGGATTTAATGGAAAAATCAATCGTTCCCGTTTTGCTTATGAAAAATTTAAACTGGCAGAAATCATCCAAACGGTGGAAGGCGAAGAGTACCCTTACAAGACCTTAAAGTTGAGCAATGTCAATGATCAAGAAAGTGGAACGGATTTGCTGGGGTACGATCGTTTCCTGACTGCCAGTGAAGGGTATTACAAAGATGGTTCACCCATGGTTCAACCAGGTGATTGGGGACATGGTAAAAATTGCACCCTGTTCATGTTCAACAATGTGCCCAGCGGAAAAGCTGACAATGCAGAGTACAGAAATCCCAGACAGAGTGGCAATGTGCGCCTGCAGCTCTTGTTTAGCGCTGCCACCACTAACAATATCACCGTGATGGTCTGGAGCGAGTACGAAAATGCATTTGAGATCAATAACCTTGGTGGTGTCAAGTATAACATTCTAGACTAAGAAAGAGAAAGGATGGAGTTTGTGGCCCTCAGTACGTTCTTAACACGCTGGCCAAAGAAGACAGATGTTTGAAACGAATGTTTCAGGGCGTGTATCCAGCGGACCGTCTTCCACGCAACCCCAACACCAAAGTCAGACAAGCTTACATCGTCAACACGGATCCAGCAGGGGAACCGGGTCAACATTGGCTGGGCATATGGACCGAAGGGAATGAATGTGAAGTCTTTGACAGTTATGGACTACCTCTCACCCAATACAGTGATCCAGACTTGCACCGTTGGTGGAGTCAATGGCCCGTCATTCAAAGGAGTGATACAAGCCTTCAAGCCCTCGACAGTCAAACGTGTGGTCATTACGTGTTATTTTATCTGAAAGCCAAAGCCAGAGGAGAATCCTTGCAAGACTTTTTAGCGCGATGGAACATCAACAATCTAGTCATGAACGATCAACGCGTGGCCGAACAAATGACCAAACTCATCAAGTCTGAAGTCAGAGAGATGTTGGAAAAACCGCAAGACCATGAACAATGTAATTGTAGTTACCAATCTTTCTTATGCTGTCAAAATCAATAAACCATATGTTGTCAATCAATCAAATGACTTCCGCCTCTATTTTTCTCATAAAACTCGAGACCCCTTTCCCTCGTCACTCATTTCTCATCATGATCACCAGACGAGACGTTGACTCTGTTCGTAACCTCTTTGGGGCACAAGAAGCCATCTACTGGGTAATGCATCCCATAGAAAGAGTGCAAGCTGTCCAACAAATAGACGAATGGGACGGTTATTTTTGGACCATGGCCTGCAACAAGATTAACGAAGCTGACAAAAGAGGAGATTGGACCCTTTTTTCGATTTTATTTGTTCTATCTTCGAAACGCATTTAAGAGATCAGATGGAGTAACTCCTTCAGTCTGCCTCAAAACGTCTGTTTGAGGAGTATACACTCAGGTGTCAAGAATTAGGAAAATGATTCGCCATCCCTCGAGTGTGATTATTGCTGGACAGTCTGGCAGTGGAAAAAGTCAATTGACAGAAAATTTATTGCGGGAAAAGACCCTCTTTCAGGTTCCTCCTAAAAAGATTGTGTATTGCTATGATCGATGGCAACCGAGGTTCGATCGCATGAAGACCAAAGACAAGATTCAGTTTTATGAAGGCATACCCGATCCAACCCACCTCGACAAATGGTTCAAACCCACCAAAGGGGGTTTGTTGGGGCTAGACGATCTCATGGCTGAGGGCAGTGACGATAAACGCGTGTTGGATTTGTTTACCAAAGACTCTCATCATCGCAACATTACCGTGTTGTACCTCACACAGGATTTATTTCCCCCTGGCAAATTTTCCAAGACCATCAGTCGCAACGCTCATTATATCGTTGCTTTCAAAAGTCCACGCGATCAGACGGGCATTCGCAATTTACTGTTGCAAGCCTACCCTCAACGTTGGAGACACGTGTTGGATCTATTTAACAAAGTGACCTCTAGACCCTATGGTTATTTGTTCATCGATGTTCACCCGGCCTCGGACGATCGATACAGATTGTGGAGTCATCTCACCGGTCAAGAGGGGTTGAGTCAAGTGCACACCTTGCCGACGGATGTCCCAACGAGTCTCGTTCGAAAACGCACTGCTAAGAGAAAGGGAAAGGCAAAGAAGGCAAAGAGAAGGAGGACAGCTTACTGAATTGAGCGAAAGAATGAGCAGACCGGCAGGAATAGGTTCACCCCGTTTTTGTCCTACTGTCAATGTCGATCGAGAAGACTATGAAAGATTAATGGCCGAAATGACAACACCTGCGGCTGGCTACATAACACCCGACAGACGTGGAATCGACCCAGGTGTGCTGTGCAAGGGGTATCACTGGAACCTTTGTCGCTGTTTGGGTAAGGCACAAGAATGGCGAGACCTCAAACATCATATCGACATCATCAAGTTTGAGTATTAAAAAAAGAGATTAAATGGACCATTCAAACTGCTTCACCAAGACTTTACGCCAAGTATTGGCCAGAACACGATGGAGTGGAAAGACCTCTTACAGCGTGAACTTCGTTTTATTCATGCTTGGTTTTCGACCAATCAATGGTTTTCGATTGTTTCTGCGCATGCGCGGTGTCGAACCAGGGACAGAAATGCCAACTCACATGGCTCCCCTTAACTCTCGGGATAAATTGACAACGTTTTGGATCGTTTTTACCAAAATTCATTTCTGCGCATGCGTGGTGTTCAAAAAGGACAGCAATGTCATCCCACATGGCAACCAGAAACTCTTTGGGTAAATAAACAACGTTTGGGAACGTTTATACCAAACTTTGTTTGTGCGCATGCGTTCTGTGAAAGGGACACAAATGTCATCCCACATGGACTTCTTCCTCTTTTGGGATGTACAGTCTTGTTTCATAAGGACGGTGCAATACTTGTTGCATCTTGGTCCTCGCGACGCGGAAACTCTACCGGTTTGGTTTGAGAATCTGCTGCTTGTGATAAGTACTGCTGCGACTTTCGAGGCGTGTGTGGTTCCTTGTGGATACCGGCCCCTGTTTGTTCGTGGTTTCTTGTGCTGCCTCTTACTTGGTAGTCTGGCCGTTTGGGTCACGCTTGGTGAGTGGTCTTGGCTCTTATCCGTTTTCGTTCCTGAGTGGCTACGGGCGCCCGTCATTTTGGGTTCCTGCTCCGTCAGGACTTAACTTTTGGTAAGTTTTTCCCTTTTCGTATTTTTTCTCTTACTTACTTTTTGTAGTTGTTAGTTGTTTTCGCTGCGCTGTATATAGCTTTCGCTTTGGGTCGTTAGTTTTTTGGCGTCCTTTGGACACAAATTACTTGGCCCTCTGGTAATTGGCTTTTGCGCCAACTACCTTTTTCTCTTGCAATTAGTGTCTTCCTGCCACTAATTGCTTATTTCTCTTTGTAGATTGGTGTCCTCCGGACTCTAATCTACTTTTTGTTTTTGTGCTTTCAATTAGCGTCTTTGACATTAATTGTTTATCTTGTTACAATTGGTGTCCTTCTGCCACCGATTGTTATTTCTTCGCTTTTGCTGTGTGGATTAGCGTCTTTCGACTCTAATCTTTTTGCGCTTTGCTGCTTTTTCGCTTTTCGCTTTTTGCCTTTTTGCTTCTTCGCTTTTGTTATAATGCGCCTACCAAAAACCATTAGCTTGCAGGTCGGCCGCAAGCTGGCTGACAAAACCAAAGATGAGATCTTGACCGAAGTTCTTCGGGTTTTTGCCGGCCTTGACGTCAAGGCTGTCCAGATTGCGTACGAGGTCGTTCGTGTCACCTTCGCTTCTCCGGAGCACTTTCGGGCGGCTAAATCGTTTTCCGGAAAGCATCTTTTCGGTTTGTGGTGCTCTATCTTGGGGGGCGGTCCCCCCGTTACGCGTGTGCACGTTTTCGATTTTCCGTTCGAGGAAGATGATAGATCTTTGGGGGTTGCTTTTGAGGCCTATGGTGCAGTCAAGTCTGTTAAGAAGCAGACTTTTCTTTCCAACCAAAACATCTTTAATGGTACCAGGCTTGTTGATGTTGTTTTATCCGGGGTACTACCCCGCTTTCTGATGGTGGATGGCTATCTGTGTCGCTTGTGGTATCGTGGCCAACCCCTTGTTTGCAATCTTTCTGCCGTTCAGGGCCACAGATCGGCAAACTGCCCCAACAAGGATAAGTGCAGAAAGTGTGGGCAATCTGGGCACTTTGCTCGGAATTGTACTTCTGACGGGTCAGCGGGAGACTCTGCGGATTTTCCGCCCTTGGCCTCATCCCCGCAGTCAGCGGAGGCCAATGTCTCTCAGGATTCTTCCGACTCTCAGCTCCTTAAGGATAACGAGCTTGATCTTATGCAGAATCAGTCGATTCTGCAAGACTTAGTCCCTGTCAGTGGTGAGTCTTCTGGGGAGTCCAACCAAAGGGCCTCCAAAAGAGCCGGGAAAGATAAGGGCTCATCTGCTAAAAGGAGTAATTCTACTTCCAATATTTGTTTTACCAACAGCCAAGAGTTTGCCTCTCTTCTTGCTAATTCTGAATTAGAGAATAATGAAAATGCTGCAGTACGTAATGAGCAATTAAACGTTAGTAATGAGAATATTAGTGTTAATAGTACTGGAAGATTAAATGAAGTTATTAATAATAGTAGTGCAAATAGTACTGTTAATGAAGTTATTAATAATAGTAGTACTGAAAGAGAAGTTATTAATAATAATACTGAAAGATCAAGTGAAGTTATTAATAATAGTAGTACTGAAAGATCAAATGAAGTCAATGATATTACTGTTAATGAAAGCAATGTTGTGGTTGTTGAAAATGTTGCTGAGATGGAGTCTGTTGATGTTGCGGCCACTAGTGGTCGGCCTTTGATTGAGGTCATTGATGAGGGTCAGGCTGACCTCAGTTCTGATGAGATTGAGTCCTTCGGGGACTCTTCTTCCTCTTCCTCACTGCCCCCTATTTTCTCCGAGCCTCCCCCTGACTTTGCTGATGCCATGGACGAGAGTGACAGTCCCCCCAAGGATACGTCCTCTCCTCCTTCTGTCGGGTCTCGTTATGAAGGGCGTAGCCTTTGCGCTAAGGCCAAGGGTTCGCGTGGGGCTGCTAGTGTTCGTCAGTCCCCACTTCTCAAGCCTTTGTCTGGCAAGCACGTTTTGCCGCAAGTTGTTTCTAGCAAACCAAAAGGTCTTCGTCGTAGTGCTTCCCTTGAGGAGCTTGTTCTGTAGTTCTCTCCCCCAACAGTCGCGTTCAATCTTTTAACACTTAATGTTAACGGGATCCGTGATCCCGTTAAACGTCTGGTTTATTGCAGTGGCTGAGCCACTTGACTTGTGATTTCGTGTGTCTCCAGGAGACTCATGTTACCGATGCTGCAGAGGCCTCTTTATGGTTCTCTTCTTCTGGTTTTTCACTGTTACGGCCCCTGGCACTGTTCGCTCTTGTGGCCAGGTCCTTCTATATCGCCCCACCTTTTCTCTTGTTAACTCCTGGGTTGAACTTGACGGGCGTTATCTCATGGCTGAATTTAATAGGAGGGATTCTGTGTTCAGGATTGCATCTGTCTACGCACCTAACCGGAACCCTGAGCGTGATGAATTTTTCACCTCATGTCTGGACTTTGCGGATCCATCTTTTCCCACGATATTATGTGGTGATTTCAATGCTGTTTTTGACAGAGCCAAAGATCGTCGGGGCTCTGATCCTGCTGTCACCATCCGGGAGAGCTTTGTCTCTCTCGAGTTACTCTTCCGGGAGTTTTGTGTGTTGGATGTTTGGCACCATCTCCATCCTGATCTTCGCGCTTTTACCTGGCTGAAGCCTGATGGTTCCTTGTCCTCCCGCATTGATCTTATCGGCTTTCCGTCTATCTGGGTTCATCTTGTCTCTTCCTGTACCTTTGCTCCGTGTCCTTTCTCTGATCACGATGCTGTTTTTCTCGTTTTCTCTATCCCTGAATCTTTTCCTCGTGGCCCTGGCAGATGGAAACGGAATGTTTCCATCCTCAAGGATCCTGTCTTCTTCCAATCTGTTAGTGACTTCTGGTCTAGATGGAGGCTGCGTAAGTCCTCTTTCTCATCTCTTCAGCTTTGGTGGGACCGTGGCAAGGAACATCTGAAAAGTCTTGCGGTCCGTTATTGCAGTAGTGCTCATAATGAACGTTCTCTGTCACGCTCTGTCCTTTCTGCCCTTGCTTGTCATCTGAAGGGTAGAATTGATGATGGGGTTGTCTCCCTTATGCCGGTTTACGAGCGGGTTCTTGGCCAGCTTGCGGCTTTAGATCTGACTGAAGCTGAGGGAGCGCGGGTTCGCTCCCGTGTTAAGTGGGCTGAGGAGGGTGAAACCTCCTCTCGTTTCTTCTTAAGGCTTGAAAAGAAGCGAGGAACTGAGAGTTGGATCTCCGCTATGCGTGTTTCCAATGGGGTGGTTGTAACGGATGTTGAGGGTATTTGCGAGTCCTGGGCTTCTTTTTATCAGGACCTTTTTACGGCCTGCCCTGTCGATCTTGGGGTCCAGTCAGATCTTCTTGACCATCTTAGTTTATCTCTTTCTCCCGATGAAGCTGCATTGTGTGACGGTCCAATCTCGCCTAACGAGGCTCATGCTGCTCTCCTTGGTATGGCTAAGGGAAAGTCCCCGGGTTCTGATGGTTTGCCAATGGAATTTTATGTTGCTTTCTGGGATTTGCTTGGCGAGGATCTTGTTAGTGTTTTCAATGCTTCTCTGGAGGCTGGCCTCCTGCCGTTCTCTCAGCGTGAGGCGCTCATTTCTTTGATCTTTAAGAAAGGTGATCGCTTAGATCATAAGAATTGGCGTCCCATTAGCCTTCTCAATGTTGATTACAAACTCTGTGCTCGTGTTCTGGCTGGTCGCCTCCTGAAAGTTATTGCCTCCGTTGTTGCTCCTGATCAGACTTGTGGTGTGCCGGGCCGCTATATCGGCGAGAACGTTGCCTTTTTGCGTGATGTGGTTGAACTGGCAAATGAATACAACCTGCCAGTAGCTCTCCTTTCCCTGGATCAGGAGAAGGCTTTTGATCGTGTTGACTGGCCTTTCCTTCTCGCCACCTTAGCTAAAATGGGCTTTGGTGACAACTTTATTCGTTGGGTCAGGCTCCTTTACACCGACGTTCGGAGCTCCGTTCTTGTCAATGGGTACATTTCTCGCCCCTTCAAGCCTTCCCGTGGGGTACGTCAAGGATGTCCCTTGTCGCCCCTTCTTTATGTTCTCTCGATGGAAGTGCTGGCTGCTAACGTTCGCTGTCATCCTGACATTACTGGTCTGCGCCTACCTGGTTTGTCTTCTCCCCTCCCTGTACTGTCCTTATATGCTGATGATACGTCTGTTATTTCGTGCTCTGATCGTGCCACTAGAGCGATTTTCTCCGTCTATGCTGGATTCGAACAAGGCACTGGTGCCAAGCTCAATCTTGGTAAATGTGAGGGTGTTTGGCTGGGTTCGTGGCGTGGTCGTTTGGATGCACCCGTCTCCATCAAATGGACCACTGCCTTTATTAAAATCTTGGGTGTGTATCTGGGTAATGGCAGCCTTGAGGAGGAAAACTGGCGGCCTCGAATCAATGCTGTTGAGAAATGTCTCAATTCTTGGCGTGGCCGATCCCTTTCATACTCTGGCAAAGCCTTAATTGTCAACGCTCTGGCTCTTTCTAGAGTGTGGTACGTGGCATCACTTATTCCTATGCCTGATTGGGTCGTATCTGAACTCAATACCCTTGTCTTGTCTTTCTTTTGGAGTGGCAAACGTGACTTGGTTGCTAGAGATGTAGTCTATCACTCTACTTTTCAAGGAGGTTTTGGCGTTGTGTCTGTCCGCTACAAAGTTCATGCGCTCCTGGCTCAGTGGGTTCGCCGTTATGTTACTGCCCCGAATGCGTGGGCCCATATGATGACCTTTTGGTTTTTCGACCGTTTTGGGATTGATCCCCAAACTGCGCTCGCTACCCCATCTCTTTTCCTCTTGGTAGCTTCGGGCCTTCCAGCTTTTTATTGCGCACTTGTGCGTGCTTGGACTGCGCTTCACGGCTCCTTGTCTCAGGCTGGTCTGATCGTTGGTTCGGCTGACACTGCATTACTTAGGGCTGACTCCTTGACTTGTAAATCGTGTTATCAGCTTCTCTTGTCCTTGAATCCCGCACAACCTCACTGTGTGGTAAAGTTTAGCTCCAGTTATCGTGACTTGGACTGGGATTCCACCTGGAAGACCTTGTTCTTTATGCCCCTTGACAGGAAGCCTATTGATCTCTGTTGGAAAGTTGCTCACGGCGTTTTGTACACTGCTCACCGTCTTGTCTCCTTTGGATTGAATGTTCATCCGGATTGTCTCTGTGGTCATTCCGATGAGACTCTGGAGCACTTGTTCTTCCACTGTCCTCTGGCTCAAAGTGGTCTCGATTGGATTCAATCACTTCTTTTTCTGTCCTCTCCTCTGGCACCAGCTATTACCGTGCGTCATGTCCTTTTTGGTTTCAGTAGTGATGAGCTGTTGTGTGTTCCTCGTGTCTTCTGTTATCTTCTGTCCTTACTTAAGTTTTTTGTCTGGTGTCAAAGGAATGACTATCGTTTTCGGTCCAAACCTCCAAGTGCCGTGGGTCTTATTACTAGTATCAAGGGTCGCCTGTCTTTCTATTTACCTCTGTTTTTTAAGCGATTTCGATCTCGGCGCAGGCGCCGTTTTTTCCAGCGCCAATGGGGTGCAAATGGCCGTATTGGTAAGGTTGTTGGTGACTCTTTTCATTTTTGTCTTTCTTAGTGGCTTCGAGTGTGTTTCCCTCGGTCGCCTTTGTTGGCTGTACTGTGGTCATGTTCTTCTGCTTGAGTGTGTGTGTCTCCCCTCTCTTTGCTCCCCCTCGGTCGCCTTCGTTGGATGTACTGTGGTTTTCTTGGCTCTGAGTTGGTTTTTCTCGAGTGTGTGTGTCTTCCCTCTCTTTGCTCCCCCTCGGTCGCCTTCGTTGGATGTACTGTGGTTTTCTTGGGCTCTGAGTTGGTTTTGCTTGAGTGTGCGTGTCTCCCTTCTCGCTGCTCCCCTCGGTCGCCTTTGCTGGTTGCACTGTTGTTTTCCTGAGATAGGTCTGAGTGAGTGTGTTTTGAGCGTCTTTGTATATAGCCTTTTATACTGTATATTGTCTTAAAGTATTTTAATTAGTAGGGAGGCGGGGTTCGATTCCCTGGCGAAATTGGCGGGCTGGCTCCGTATGGAGGTGCCCCCTCCCATTTTGGCGGTCTTTTTACCCTGTAGGTTACCCTAGCTTTTTGTTTTTCTTTTTGTCGGATCGTTTTGTTCCCTTTGTTTTCATGGCCTTGGGGCATCGCACCGCGCCCTTTGGACCGCCAAAATACAACAAAAAACTTGTTGCATCTTGATGGTGCAATTTTTATTTCATCATGATGGTGCAATCGTTCTCGATAAAAAGAGAGTGGGTTGAATCATTTTTCATTCGAGCTTTGCTTGCCAAGATGAAACGTTCCTGGGAAGACACTTTGGACTCTGATGATGACGATCTCTTTAACCAAGTAATGGACGACTTTGAAGACACACAACAAGTGGGAGGCTCGCGCCAACCCTTGTTTGCGTTTTCTTTAAACAGTATTGGACCGCGACGTCGATGGAGAAACGTGGTGGAAAGGGCACAGTTCAGAGCTGAGCTTCGCCAATTAAGAGAACCCGTGCCTGGCGACGACATTGGTGCGGCCTTAAGCGAGGCTTTACACGCCGCCATCGAGAGAGAGCTGAGAAGGGAGGTCAGACACCAGAATGATTTTGTCAACTTTAGCCTCACCGCTCATGGTTTCACCCATGCTTACCAGAGCATCAACTTTACGGTGGGGGAATTTCTGGAACGATCCGTGCGTTTAAATGAATTGTTGCAAGAGTTAGCTGGCAAACTTAATAGCAGTGAATCATTCGACCCTGAACAAGGCTTTCAAGTGGAGGTGGTTTTTGTGAGGCGCCCACAACCTGGCAGTGGTAGAGGCAAAAAGAGAAATACCGGACGCCGATGCCTGGATAACGAAAACAAAAAGAAACGTTGCATCATTCCCATTAAAAACAATGACGTTCTCTGCTGTGCCCGTGCCATTGTCACCATGCGAGCCCATGCCCACAAAGACGACACCAATGATGCGTATCACGATTATCGAAACATAATCCAGGGTAGAGCCATTCAAGAACGTCAAGCCCGCGAGCTGCACCACTTGGCAGGCGTGGACCCCGGTCCGTGTGGATTAGAGGAGCTGGAAAAGTTTCAGGCGTATCTAAAACCGACTTATCAATTGTTGGTGATGTGCCGCACCAAACCATTTTTTCTGATTTTCAAGGGACCGCCTGCCCCTAAACAGATCAAACTCCTAAAGTCAGACACCCACTACGATGGTTGCACCTCGTTTCCAGCCTTTGTAAACCGTTCGTATTGGTGCTCTCTCTGTGAAAAAGGATTTAATGTGGACGATGCCAAGAATCACCCTTGCGAAGGAAGAACTTGCCAAGCCTGCAATCGAAAAACCTGTTCCGACTACAATCGTGATGTCAGTCCCACTCTGGTCTGCCCAAATTGCCATTGTCGATTTTACGGCATCGACTGTTTTGACTATCATCGTGAAAAAAATCAATGCGCCAAACACAGAACTTGTCCCAAGTGTAATGCAGAATACAATGTCATCAAGGGCAAGCGACATCGATGCGGGTTTTCCGTCTGCCCAAGCTGTAAAGAAATGGTCGAGATCCACGCACACAAATGTTTTATTCAGCCGGCCGTGGACCACCCAGAAGAAGATGTTGATGATGATGATAATGGTAAGAAAAAACCCCTCCCTCCACCCCTCTTTGTCTATGCCGACATTGAGGCTATGCAGCTGCCGGACAGACAATTTGAAGCCAACTTGCTGTGTTACCGGACCAGCGAAAGCGAGACGATCGTTACCCACAAGGGAAAGAACTGTGTCTGCACCTTCTTACATGATCTCGACGATGCAACCGAGATTCCCGACGATGACCGTGAGAGAACCATCATCGTCATCTTTCACAATCTCAAAGGTTTTGACGGAATGTTTATTATAGATGAACTGTACAAACAGCAACGCGGGATCGAAAATCAGCTCACCGTGGGTTCCAAGGTCCTTTCCTTTCAAAGTGCATCTATCACGTTTAAGGACTCACTGTGTTTCCTACCCATGCCATTGGCTTCATTTCCATCGGCTTTCAATCTCACGGAACTAAAAAAAGGCTTCTTTCCTCACGAATTCAATTTGCCACATCACCAAAATTACGTGGGCTCCATCCCTGGCATTGAGTTTTTTGACCCCGATGCAATGTCTGAAAAGAAAAAGAAAGAATTGGAAGAGTGGCACGCTGCCCAAGTACGACGCGGAGTGCAATATGACTTTGCCCGGGAGATGGAGGAGTATTGCAAGTCGGACGTGGCTCTCCTACAAGCTGGTTGTGAAGCCTTCACCAAAGAATTCGAGAGTCACGCCGACTTCAATCCCTTTGAAAAATGCATGACCATCGCCAGTGCCTGTAATTTGTACTGGCGCAAGCATTGCCTCCAAGAAGCTACTTTTGCCGTGGAACCACTCAAAGGCTGGCGAGGAGCCAACGTCAACCATTCCATGAAAGCATTGCAGTGGTTATACTACAAAGAGCATTGCATCCCCAAGCAGGGTATCTGCCCGGACCGAATAAGGCATGTGCGAAACGGGGGTGAACAGAGTGTAACCACTGCCACAGATTCTTACTTTGTGGATGGGTACGATCCCCAGACCAACACGGTTTACGAGTTTCACGGATGTTTCTTTCACGGTTGTCCCGAATGCCATCCCAGAAACCGTTACACCAAACACGCCGTCAACCCGGATCGTACCATGGAAGAACTCTGGAGGGCTACTCAGGTCAAAGAAAACGCTCTCCGCAACCATGGTTACAACCTCGAAGTCATGTGGGAACACGATTGGGACAAGTTGTGCCAACACGACCCTAATGTTAAGGATTTTGTGACTACCTTGCAGCTAGTGGAACCACTACAACCGAGAAATGCCTTTTTCGGAGGGAGAACCGGTGCCGTGGCCCTTCACGCGGTGGCCTCTGAAGGGGAGGAAATTCGATATGTCGACGTGACCTCCCTGTACCCGTGGGTGAACAAGAACGGAAGCTACCCTATCGGTCACCCCACCATCATTACCCAACCGCGAATTCAAGACATTGCCAGCTATTTTGGCATTGCCAGCGTTGATATTTTAGCACCTGCAGAGCTATTCCATCCTGTCCTACCCGTCCGCAGTAGGAACAAGTTGACCTTTCCCCTATGTGCGGCCTGTGTCAAGCAAGAACAGGACAACCCCATGCTAGAGAGGAGCGACGTCTGCAATCACACTCCCGAGGAACGGACGTTGCAAGGAACATGGTGTACCCCGGAGATCGAAAAGGCAGTGGAGAAGGGGTACAGGGTAATCAAAATTCACGAGGTGTGGCATTTTTCACAGCAACGCGATGGTCTATTTCGAGACTACGTCAACACGTGGCTAAAGCTAAAGCAGGAAGCCGCTGGTTGGCCACGATGGTGTGACACGAAAAAAAAAAAGCAGCAATACTTGACGCAGTACAGAGAAAGAGAGGGCATAGACTTGGACTATGCCAGCATTCAAAAAAATCCCGGCCGAAAAGCGACGGCCAAATTGATGCTGAACTCCTTCTGGGGAAAATTCGGAGAAAGGCAAAACAAGCCCAGGACCGAGACCATCACTTCTCCTTCCCAGCTGTTTACCCTTTTGTTTCATTCCCACAAAAATGTTTCTACTCTGCGAATTTGTAACGAGGACGTGTTAGAAGCCGTGTCTACGGACCTTGATGACAATGTGGTTCCCAGTAACAAAACAAATATTTTTGTGGCAGCATTTACGACCGCGTGGGCCAGACTACGTTTGTACGAGGCCCTCGACGTGTTACAGCAGCAAGTATTGTACTATGACACCGACTCTGTCATTTACCGCTGGAAACCCGGACGACCCTCCATCCCTATCGGTGATTTTTTGGGCGAGATGACAGACGAGTTAGAGGGTGACATCATCACCGAATTCATCTCGGGCGGGGCAAAGAACTATGGTTACAAAACCAGGGGAGGAAAAACTGAATGTAAAGTGCGTGGTTTCACCCTGAATGTCAGAGGTAAAGAGGTCCTCAATTTCGAGACCATGAAAAGAAACATACTGTCAGAGATAGACGACCCACTGGAAGAGCGAAGAGTGATTCGGGTGAACAACCCCAATCATTTTCAGCGCAACACGACGAACAAGACCATCAGGCTGGTCCATCAAGTGAAGCAATATGGACTGGTCTTTGACAAGCGGGTCATTGACCCAGACACTAAAATTAGTTATCCTTTTGGCTACCGTGCCTGGTCAGAGGTCGATGACGATAATATAGATATATTGTTAGACTTGTAAAAATTGTTCTCGACAGGATTCGAACCTGTAAGCCTCGAGTCCTACCTGGCTGGCTGGACTCATCAGCCGATGCGAGAATTTTCTAGCCAGTACCGGCAATCGCCACAGGGCCACTGCTTTCCCGGCTATTTTTTAATGGATTTTTTATCTTTTTAAAACGAAATAAGGGGCGTGACGTCACTTGGAGGTCACACACGTCCCGCTTGTAAAATAAGGGATGACGTCAGAATAAAATGAGTTAAAAAGTGACATTTGGTGTGCTATTACATGAAGGGGGAATGTTGGGGGACTTTTCGTGATGTCTTACATGACGTACCCCCTGGTATGACGCAACTGGGGTAATTAAATCCAGCCTTCTGATTGGTCGAGAGCGATCACGTGTTGGAAATACGCGATTCTGATTGGCTGTGTGACAAGGTAGCCAGTATTACTACTCAGGGTCAGGGTTTCAAACCCTCAGCGGCTCACCTGTACCCAAATATTGGTCGAGTACCCCCCTCCCTAGGGGAAATACATGGTCTATTTACTTAAGACTTATTAGTCTTGCAAAACTAATGAAAATTTAACTTTACAGTGAGAAGGAATAATTTTATAAAATTAATTTAAAAAATCTCACTTAAAATAACAATTTAAGAGAAAGCCCCAAGGAAACCTCTTTAGGCTGTACTTCTTTAACATGTTTAGGCTAGGTGCAAACGGACGCAACCGGCCTCCCAACACTGCACGTACTTTAATCATGTTAAAGACTGAGTACAGTCAGTACAGTCGACTCCCGATAACTCGAACCTTGAAGGGAAGTCGAGAAAAGTTCGAGTTATCGGAATTCGAGTAATCAGGAGCTCGAAGCAAATAACAGAAAATAAGGTAATGAGATGACGAAGGAGTCATGCTCAATTCACTTCAAGCGCACATGGAGAGACCTGAAAGACTCGGAGATTATCGGCACGTTTTTTTTGCAGGTCACAGGCGGGTCACAGGTCACCTCTGTGGAAGCTCAGTTGGAGAACAGAGTGGTCTAGTTTGTAAACAATCCTTTCGATCGTACTTTTCACACCAATTCAAAAACTCATTAATAATTCATTTAGGAAAAACCCCCAAGAAATTAATGTCTTTAAATCTGATAAAGACACAGCTAAACTTTACATCTATTTTTTTAGACCAAAATAACACCAAATTTAAATATTAGTGAAAGAATAAGTCGATCTATATCAGAGATTTTTCAAGTTTAGAATGTGCTTTTTTAATGCCGCAAAGCAAAATACTGTCAAACTGTCTTTTGTAATATCTTTGCTGACCAGAAAAAATTCGTAATAGAGAACATTTAAGTGCCATTTCACTCATCATAGAATAGATAAACGTAAAGTACACTTGAATTTAGCTAAAACAATCGATTGCAAACATTGTGTACATTCTGTTTAATTCTGTACGATGAGAAAGTGTAGATCGATTCAACTAACTGATAGCTAACGATAAGAAAGCGAGCAAGTGTTTCACACGGGTTTTCCTCTATGTAAAAATCAACCTCGCCCCCAGGGTGCTTTGCCCTGGCTTTGGAGGTGGTGCGCCCCGCCTCCAAAGCCAAGGAAAAGCACCCTGGGGACGAGGTTGTATAAAAATCTTTCAAGTGTCTCTTATTTTCAAGTGAGGTTAGGGGAGTGGGGCGAATACTAGTACTCCCTTTTCCGTTTTTTTGGGAGGAAAATGAACTGTAAATGTTAGGTTTCCTGTGCACTAGGCTTCAGTCCGTGCGAGGTTTTGACATTCGAGATTAGGCCAAACCTCGACACACATTTGCTTTTCATCGCTTCGTTTTTTTCGTCTTTTTTCGGATGAGGATTGTTTAACTGGACTCACGTATCAAAGGTGTCGAACATTACCGAGTCATTATGGATATTACAATAAAAGGTTACGGACACGGACACTTGCTTGTTTGTAAGGATTTCTTTATGCGGTATTGTATTCGAACAGTGACTGTGTTGAGCGTCGTTGATCGGATCCAATAAAATGTGGAATTGACACTGAACTTACGGCTGCTACATAAAGGACGCAGCCTTTGTGTCCACATCCCGCCTTTTATTTCTGAGTGTAAATAAATACCAATATAGAAGGAACTTGGAAGATATTCTGCAAGATATTCTTAGAAATGCAACTGCTACTGTATTTTTCAAAAATATATTTCTAAATTTAAATTTCGTCTCCCAACTTTATCTATGACCTGTAACCTGTGACCTCCAAAAGAAACCTGACGGGAGATTATTGATATTTTGAAAATTCTAAGGGAAAAAATGAACAACAAGCAGACAAAGGTTGATTAATATACAGGGCTGGAGAAATGATCTAAAGGGAAACAAAGATTGCTTCGAGTATTATTTGATAATAAGCGCGGGGGTTCGAGTTCACTGAAGGTAAAATAACAGTAAATCTATGAAGGAAATCAACGGGAAATGTAATAAGGTCGAGTTAGCGAGAATTCATGATATCGGGAACCACTGTACTTTGTATTTAATTATTATTTTTTATCTATACTTGTTTCCAGATTGTTTCATTTATCACTTCGAAACATATCAAAATTTAACCACAGCTATTGCAGTGGAATATTTCACCATCAAAGGAAGTCTGTTTCTCGCGTTCGCTGACGTTTCAAACAGTACTTTCATCTACAAGTTCAGCGACTCGACAAGAAAATTCTTTTTTTACCAGACCTTGGGTACAAGGATGGTGTGGGACGTGGGATATTTCACATTTTCTGACGAACACTACGTTGCTGTTTCTATTCCTTTCAAAACATCAGTTATTTATCGCTGGAATGGACAATTGTTTACTCCATTCCAAAAGATGATTGCATCGAATGTATGGGAGTTCAGTTTTTTTACAGTAGACAAAGAACCATATCTTGCCGTATCCAGCGGTATGAGACGTTTTCTATGTAGCATCTATAAGTGGAAAAACAACACCTTTGAAAAGTTTCAGGTAATAGGAGGTTCCTGTTCTATACATGCGTTTATAATTGACAATGAAACCTACTTTGTCCATGCTGGGGGCTTAAGCCTAAAAATACCGTCAGTCGTTTATAAGTGGTCAGGAGAAACCTTCTCTAAAATGCAAACTCTCCCGCCAGCAAGAGAGGTAGAATTCTTTAACATTAGTGAACAAGTGTTTCTCGCCCTTGGGTCTCAACGTGCAAATACGAACTCGTATATTTACAAGTGGGAAGGCAGTCGGTTTATTTTGTTTCAGTCCATTAGTACTCTTGGTTCCTTTCATTGCGTGCATTCATTTGTCATGTGTGGTCAAATGTTTTTGGGTTTCACTGGATGGAAGAGCGAAAAGTCTACGCTGTATCGGTTCTCTCTGGACAAGTTCACTAAATATCAAGAGATTTCGACCGTTGGACCTATTGATATGACGTCATTTGAATACAAGGGTTATACTTTCCTGGCTATTGCTAATTTGCTATACTCAGACTCAACCCGAAATAGTACTAAAAGCACTCTGTATAAGTGGACCAAGGGAATGTAATTACCCTCTAACGATGCATGTTGCCATAAATATGTTAGATTACTGTACATACGCGGAACTTTAACCCAGTGAAAAGTGAAGTCGCTTTAAAGTAAACTGAGAAAGGTCAAATAAAATAGTCAGCAGAATGTTGTTGCAGATTTAAGGTTCCTTCTGTTAACATTTCGATTTAGGAATATTAATTATACATGTAGTTTGACTCTAAACTATAGAGAAATGAAATAACTGTGCACATGAACTGGCTTTCGACTTGGTTCTGCGTTAAGATACAAAGCTATACAAATATCAGGGATATCAGGTACAGTCGTAGCAAAAAGGGCTGGTGTTCAATGCTTTTGTTGAACAAGAGTTAGCGGTCTCTCCAGCTCACGCATCATATGCAACAAAACTCTAAATTACTCCTCTCTTTATAGGCCCCGTCCACACGTATCCGGGTACTTTTGAATCCGCAATGTTTTCTTTCCGAGACGGCCATTCGTCCACCACACACATCCGGTGTATTCGCACCGTTTTGAATCCGCTCTCCAGGGTGGAAAGTTTTGAATCCGCTACATGTATCTGGATACGCATGGACAGTAAATTCGGATATCTTTTTATCCAGTGATGTAACAAAATCGATCCCAGTTCTTTACCCACAGTGAATACTGTGTTCACATGGCAACCTCTACTCATGCTGTGTTACCAATACTCGTAGAGGAGTCTAGCCTCTACGGTGTTCCAGGCTCCGAGATTGTCGGGTCCGCTGAATTGAGAAAGCTCGAACACGTTTCAAAAAATCGGATTAAGGCTGTGATTGATATGTTTTGAAGACTGACCAATCAGGATTTTAACATTCGCCTAGTAAAAAAAGCGAAAAACTATAGTCTCCTGGCAGGCGTTTCTCTCCTTCCCTCCTCGCGCGCCCCTCGCTTTTCTCACGCGAACAAAACCCCTTTAATTTCCTTTCCCTTTCAAATGCATGCTACGCAGGCTTCATCCAGCAAGGCTAAGGGGCTTAATTCTTTCGCTCCATATGCGGAACATTATCATTGCACGGATTCTTTCTAGATAACCAACAACAACCAACCACTTTATTTGCCAACTTAAAAAACGTTTACAAAGAACAGAATAAATTTAAATATATCAGGCAAAAAAACTACTCAGAAAAGCAAACAACTAAACGAGCTGAGCTCCCCTCGTCTTCCAAACAAAGGCGAAGAAGGACACCTGATCGCAAGTTACTTTCTAGTCGCTGACTTCCTGTGCTCAGTTAAGTCTTCTTGAAGGATGAAGGCCCACTGATTCACTGTCGATTGTAACATTCTATAATTTTATACAGAATGAGAGGCTACAATAATTCAGTCGTGATTAATCTAATTAATATTGTGCTCTGTGATTCAAGAAACAGGAAAATGGCGAATAAAAGACTATAATTAGAAACATACTGATGTTAAAAAAGCTCGAACTTCCGCTGTATTTATATAATCACTTGTTTATGAATT